AGAGAATATATTTAAAATCTGTGAACTACTTTAAGTAATCCTTATTAAAGCAAGAAATATGATGGCATAATCAGTTACAAATAACACCAAACGAAAGTGGTTATTTATCATAAGTTTAGGAGAATATTCAAAAGGTTTTGTTAGTTGACCTAACAAGGGAAAATACCAAATGGACCAGTGACGTACAGGGGAAAAGATTATGTGACACTATACTGGTAGTCTTTTCAAAGGGATTAGAAATCAGTTAGTACGTCGATGGCCCAGAGGTAAAATGCTCGCTAACCACGAAAGTGGCTCAGGGTTCGATCCCCAGTCGAAGCAATCCTTTATCCCATTAAGTCAGTAATGAGGCTGGTAAAGAGAGAAGGTTGGGCATCAGGCTAGTAACTCCACCCCGTAAAAATAAACACCACTGCTACTGAAAGTTCAGAGGTCTATCTTGAAGCCCTATTTTCCACTGGAAACATAAAGGAATCAAATATAAATAAAAGAAATCAGTTATGTGACTTCAGAGCAGTGGGTCAGAAGAAACCATAGTAACAGTAGTAATGAGAATAGTAAGACAAATGTAAAAATAGGATACATAACCATTGTTGGTATTAGATGGTTGGAGGCAGTCGGCAGGAAGCCTTGGACCTAGGTTTCGTGCTAGTTGGCACTCATCAGCAAGGCGTATCTGCAACCTTGAAGGAACTGATGTCCTTTCTGAGATTCGAACCCGCGTCACCCAGTGCTGCAGTCAGAGACGTTACCACTGAGCTATTCAGGCTCGCGACTGACCTCCTGTAGGACTGTATTGGATATTTTTGATTGCACACTAGTCAGTAACTAGTGTAATGTGTCTATTCCTATCTTCGGTGCAGACTGAATTCTATCAGTCATGTTTGCAATGTGGCCGACTGCCGACTGCCGACTGCCTCCAACCATCTAATACCAACAATGCACAGTGCACCGTAATGGCGAGCCACCTAGCATGGTGGCCACATTGCAAACATGAGTGATAGAATTCAGTCTGCACCGAAGATAGGACTAGACACATTACACTAGTTACTGACTAGTGTGCAATCAAAAATATACATAACCATGTAATGAGGGGAAAAAAGATCATTACCAGGGTAAGCTAAAATTGATCACTGTTTGGTTTGAGTTGCTTGATTGTGACAAATTCAGAAAAACGAAGTACGATTGGAGTTCTTTGTTTGTTGATAATGGTAGATGTAGGCTAAACATCTGCTCTATTCGACGTATGCTAATTTCGCTTGTAAGGGACCGGGTATTTTTTAAATGATATATCGTTTGAGAATAAAGCTTTATCCAGATAGTTTCTACTGGCCATGACTAAATGTACTGTAATGATTCCTTTCTAAATAGGGAATAAACATTAAGAGTGGTAAGCTTCGAACAGTTGTATGAATAACGGTTTACTGAAACACTGACAAATGGCAAGACCATTTGATATGTCAACCAGTTGGCTGCTAAAAATACTAAGCACAGATGTTTTTGGTTTCACTGAACGTTAGTAAGTAGCTGAAGTCATGCGTCTAATCCTTGGTGTTGGTACAGACTAATTTCTATCATTCAAGTTTGTAATGTAGCTACCATGTTAGTAGGCTTGACATTGCGGTGTACTTTGAATTGCTGTTAGATAGTTGGAGGCAATCGGAAAGTGGCCTTGGATCTAGGCTTCGTGCTTGCTGAAACTCATCAGCTAGACGTATTTTCAATCTTGAAGTAACCCATGTCCCTTCAGAGTGCCCTGGGTTCGAATCCTACAAGGAACATGGGCTGTTTCAAGATTTCACTTACGCCTTACTGACTGATCTGAGGCTTCTTACTAATTACCTCCAACCATCTAACTGATTTCCTTAAACAGATAACATGAAAAATAACCTAACATGATTTCATCATGGGCTGAAATCGGTTAGAGAATCATTGGAAAAGCACCATGAATTATTGGACGGTTGTTTCGTCCTGGTTTGAAACTCTTCACCAGTAAGCATCCACCACCACGGGGTTAGAACCCAGGACCTTCTGGTTCCAAGGCGAGCTCGTAGATCATTTAGCCACTGGGACCCGATCCAATGGCCCATGAATTCTAACTTCTGCCAGTTCATGACATAGCACCACCACTATCCAGTGTCATCACTGGCGAGTATTTGTCCTCACACCAGACCTGCTGTACCCTACTGGTCACGACTTTCCACTAGAACCCCAGGTAACTGCTACCTGAATGCCACTAGTCAGTCGCAAACTGAAAGTAAAGTAAAAAAATAAAAAATATAATTTCTTACAGGGAACGACTAATGAAGAGATTAAGACCAAGGTAGAATAAGAGACTGGACAAAGTTTTTCTGTATACAGAGTTCGGATTTGTATTAACGAATCGCCAATGCCACTGCCATACACAAATGCCTATATCTAACGCCCTTTCCACCATTCGTTCCCACCTTGTGGGTAATCCTGAGAGACTACTCTGATAGATCTGTGTAGCTTGAGTTCACCAGGTGCTCAATAACTGAGGGAGTAATTATCCTGCATTGTCTTCTTGCTAACCATGTCCAATAATGTTCAGAGATGCGTTTAGAAAGTGTGCACCTTTTGCGGCCGATATGACTAACTCCACAGCAACACGTGAATTTATAAAAACACAGTGAAGTGGTCAAAACCGGCAGTTTATCCTTCATACATCCACTGGTCATTTGTCAGCTGTAGAAACTGATCCGCCGCTCAGCTGAAAAGAAGGCTTTTCTTGGTGATCTGGGTGGTCTACCCTTAAGAATGTCAGCTGCGGTATCGCCTTTAAATTCAACGCTGATAAACAGCAGTCTCTTTGGCACTGTTTGGATACCATCAGGACTTTGCTTTTCTTTCATGTTTTTTTATCAATAAATCTCGAAGGATATCTATTTTCCATGAGGACATCTCTGAGTCTCTCCAGTTCGTCATTGATTGTATCACCGGTACTCATCCTTCTTATTCTTGAAGATAAGGAGTGGATCAGATTTCTCTTTCTTTACAACGGCGACCAACTAAAAAAATTCGTGTACTGACCACTCAGTGTTGGTTTCCAGTAAATCGATCTCTGAAGAGAACCATCAGATCTCGTTTTAAGGGAAAACGTCCAAAAAATGGAATTCTGAGTTCATCTCTGATTCCGATGTTAACTGGATACAATGATGGCAGTTGTTGAATTTCTTTGTTATCACTTCGATATTACTATTCTCGTCACATCTGTTGAAATTTTCATCCATGTATCTTCGGTACATATGAAAACTGTCGATAATGAACCATAATATATTATTCTCTAGACTTACCATGAATCAGTCCTCAATAAAGGTCCCAACGGCGACCCCATTGCCAGTCCATCTCTTTGTCTATACAGACTGTTGTTGAACTTAAAATGGACACCGAAAGTGCATCTCAGTAGTCTTTTTAAGTAGTGAATGAGAATTCCCATGTCTGGATTATTATCCTGGATGAATTTGCATACAAAGCAAATACTTTCAGTAGGAGGAACATTGGTGAATAGAGTCATGGCAACCAGAGAGATCATTTTCTTCCGGGATACATCAACATCACTTATTGAATCGACAAATTCAAATGCCCTCTAGCGACTGGCCTTATTCAGGCAGTTAACCTGGGGTTCTAGTGGGAAGCCTTGACCACTCGGGTACATCAGGTTGAAGGTGAAGCAGTAAGTCATCGAAGAAGACATTGCAAAGTGGTCACGCTATGTCATGAACTGGCAGAAGTTATAATTCATGGACTGGCCATTGGATTGGGTCAGAGTGGCTACTGAATGGTCTATTAGCTCTCTTTGTAACGAGAAGGTCCTGGGTTCGAACCGTGGCAGTGAGGTGCGTAATGCTGAATGGTCCCAAATTAGGCGTACGAAACAGCTGTCCAGTACTCTCTGCAAGTTTTCCAGTGGTTCTCTAACCGATTTCAGCTCATGATGAAATCTTCCAACAAATTCAAATGAATCTGAAACGATATGATGACAGAGATTACTTCTGATAGGTAGAATGATGTCTGCGAGTCATTTGGCAGTAGCATGATATGGTGAATTTGTCACGTTCAAGATTGTCCACATTGGTACGCTGTCTTAGTATACTTATTATAACGGAATAAGGTACATCCATTTTCTGTTGTCCATCTGTATTCGTTCGTCTGTCTCTTATGTCATCTTTCTTTTGAGTTGGTGTTTGTTTCTTTTTGGTAAAGTTGTCTCAGGTATTATTTAATTGATGATGGTTAGAGGTGAAATCTAAGATGTGCATTTCACCCCACCTGGAACTCTTCAGTTAGAAGTACCTTCAACCCCCCCCACAAGTTAATGATAGATGATGTTTCATCACTAACCACCAGCAATTAAAGCACATCATGTTAATCTTCAGAAGTCATCGTAGCGTCCGCACTTGGAGCTAACATGTGGACAGAGACCAAGGACTCCACTTCAATCGGAAATACAAAATCAACTTAATCTTCAAATGTTGGTGTGTAGAGAGCTTATTTGTCACAAGTTTAATCAAGAGCTGGCATGAGTTACAGAACCTCTGGAAAACAAGGAAGAAGTGGACAGTTGTTTGGACCTAGTTTTGGACTCTTCATCAGTACGCACTCAACGGGGGCTCGAACCCGGGACCTTCTGGTTACAAGGCAAGCTCATACACTATTCAGACACTGCGATCCGACAAAGAGTCCCAGACTAGGACGAAACAGTCGTCCAGTACTCCCTGATTTCCCAATGGCTCTCTAACTGATGTCAGCTCGTAATCAAATCTGTAAGAAATCGACTTAAACAAATTGTCTCAAGGTGTTTTATTAGAAGTAACTTGACAGATAATAATTAAAATACCTTATTTTTACTTTTTGTAATATATTTTCACATCATATAAAAGTAAATAGAAACATGTACATTTATTTACTGAAAAATTGAATATTACTGATATTTCAAATAAATATTTTCTTTTAATCTACTCTATTTTCTTCCCCTGCAGGATATAATAAAGAAAGAATCAATAAACTTGGATTGGGAGTTTAAACTTTCACTAGTGACTGATGTAGTCAAAGTGAGTGACACTTTCTATTTTCTCTTCTCAGTAAAGTAACAAATGAAGTAATGTAATACCATATTAGATTGGTCCATTCGACAACTCACGCAAAGACATAGTGCCACTGTCGTTATATTTTTTATACTACTGAAAATAATTATGATAAACGCTAATCTGGAACTTTTTAGCAAAGTAATGTACATGAATTTAACAGTGCGGACCGAATCGCGATGCTGGGCGTCACCATCATCAACGCCATCAAAGAAAGCATACAGTGACAGTCAATACTCTACGCCAACTTCATTGACTCCAGAAAAAGCCCTCAAAAGTGTTGACCTCGAAGTAATTTGGAAATTGCTTCGACACTATGGAGGAGTACAGTGCCACAAACCTTTGCCAACTTCATCTAACAGTTATATAATAATGCCAAATGTCAAGTGATTCACAACGGAAAACTCAGAGAAGCCTGTAAAGTGAAGACAGGGGTGAGAAAAGACTGACTACTATCAGCAGTGATCTTCCTCAGTGTAGTGGACTTGATCATACAAAAACCGTATCTGGGAGTGAAAGATAAGAACACGTGTTGGGCAGACAAGAAGATGCTTGAAGATTTGAACTTCATGGATAATTTACGTTTAATGTCATACAAACTCGAAGACCTACAAACTTAAACCAACAAAATGGTAGAAGAGAAGGGCAATTAAGACAGGAATTCTAGTGAACATGGAGAAGACAAAGCTGATGAAGACACCTAACCAACAACAAGAACCAATCACCATCAAAAGGAGGAAATAAAAGGAGGTCACCACTTTCACTTATATGCTGCAATCAACATAAAGAATAAGATACGGATTTTTAATACAAGAAAGAATTGCCGTATCATGATAAGCGTTTCCAATAGGCTTTGGACATTTATCAGCAGCTGCCTTCACTCCATACTGCAGACACAAACTGAGGAGACCACAGAGTGCTATCGTGCGCTAGACTCTCAAGTGTAATGCGGATGGGAGACGACGAAGTAAGTGGTGGTCCGAGGGTGATACTGAATAGATCCTATGAGGTGGAGATGAGGATTTATGGGGAACCGTCGGGCCAGCTAAAGACGACTGCAGAGAATAAGATGAAATCGAAATGTGCTTTTGAAGCCCTGAGTTCCACTCAGAGCACAAGAGAATAATAAAATCAACTGCATTCTAATACTTCAGTTAATGCAGTTAATAATAGTACTTCAGTAATGCAGTTCACCAACTAATATTAAAACTTTTAAATACTGGATGATTAGTTTTTTTGTTAAACGAGTAATTGTAAGAACACTAGAACAAAACACCTATAAATGTTTTTAAAGTGATATATGCTTCAAAGCAAACCATTGGAGGAAGTATTAAACAACTAGTGAATCATCTACTGTTTTATAATTCATTTCTGTACTTTCTGAGTGGAACACACGGCTTCAGACTACAAGCTTTTGAGTTTCAGTATCGGAGGTGTTCTTTTAATGACGTATGGTTGCTGGCCTCACAACCAACCTTCCCTCTTTACCGGTCTTACTACAGGCCAAGCAACGTTTAGGAGTGTGTCAGTTGTACAAAGACAGATGTAAGTTTGAACCGCAGTAACACCTGGAAGCTAATGGAATAGAGGAGAGGAGGATGGTGAAAGAGAAGATGACTCATTGCAAAGATGGAAAACAGAAGGAGAAGCTGAGTTCAATGTACACTGTACTACACTGAATAAAGAAGCGGAGAAGAGTGCTAAGAAAGACAAAAGACAGTTCTTCAACACACTGGCAACTGGAGCAGAACAACCAGCACCAATCTGCATCAGCGGGAAAGATTTAACAGAGTTTACCTCCTTCACTTATCTAGGAATCATTGTTTCATCTACAGGTGAAACGGATGAAGCTGTAAAAGTCAGAATTTGCAAGGCAAGATACGCCTTCATCAACCTGAAACCAGTTTGGAAATCTGCACTAACTCAGCCAGCTTAAGGAACAAGATTCGCATTTTCAACACCAATGTCAAGTCTGTCGTTCTATACTGGTCAGAAACTTGGCCAACGTGTCAAGAGAAGGATTCCCAACAGGTTGCAGATTTTCATCAACAACTGCCTTCGCTGGCCCCATACTGAAAATCAAATGTCCAGCCAGAAAGAAAAACAGTTGTGTTACTAAGGCCCCCTTCTGATGAATTATGTTGCTTATCTACAAAGACATTTTTCTCCATACACCATATCACTCACAATCATGCACTACCCATCCGCATTTTGAATTACAGCTCTGTATGGTTCTTAGGCAGAGTGTATACACAATTGAGGCGATGCAGTGATTCAACATGAGTTTTAGGGCATACTGTAGAATACTGGTTCCCCCACCCATTCACCCATTTATAAACTCTTGGAACCAGCTACCAGAAGGATTAGTGTCAGTGCCCCCAAATGACTTGTTGAAGAAGGGTTTAGACAAGCACAGAAACTTATTAGGAAATAATTAAGATAGGCATCAAGTTTATTCTCAATCAATAAATTTGAATCTGAATCTAAAATCAAAAGTGATGGAGAAACAAAATGCCGCATAAGCGTCAGTGTCTATTTTGACAAACACAAACAACGGTATATGGTAAAGCCAAGGATATGGAAGAGCTATTACCAGTGGGTAATGTTTGTCGACTACTTAGACTTATAACATGGAAACAGGTCCTATGTTAAGTGTAACAGCCTCCGAAAGGAATGGAACTGCGACTGCTTCTGAGAACAAATAGATGACGCGTTTGGAAGAGCATTCATTCAATTGACCTACAGATGCATTACAGTTGATCACCAGCTAAATGAATCTTAGAGAGATTTAGAAATCCGTTCACCGACTGCAAATGATGTTGCTAAAGACAGAGGTGAATGCAGAACTACTTAGGCATGGCAGTAGCAAATTACTAACTAAATTAACCAAGGTACCTCCATTTAAAACTTTTACTTGAATATTTACCTAAAAATAGTTTCTACGAATTTTACTCATCATTGTAATTCAAACTTTATGTTAACCGTAGAGTTTAATATTTGACCAGTGATAATTATTCCAACAGTGCAACCCTGGCAATGAACCAACTAATAACCAATCATCCAACAAAAATCCCCAAGAAAAAAATGAAGATGGACCAGACGCACACACTGAGGAGACCATTGAATGACAATGCTCATCCGATCCTCGATTGGAAACGACAAGTTGAGCACTTGTCCAAGGGTGACATAGATGAGATCGTGTGAGAAGAATATGTAAGCCTATGTGCCATCCTTGAGTAAGCTAAAAAGGACTATGGAGGACCAGGTGATATGGCGATGTGTTGCAGATTTCCTCTATTCCACTTGGAACCTAAGGGAACAATAAAAATTCCACTAATCTTGTACTAATCAACTTCTTGATTATTATTGTCCCTTCTGTTCCTAGAAGAATATAGGGCTTCTGACGCACGTCTCCATTGCGTTCGGTTCTCTGCCAACATTTTCACCTAGCTCCATGTCTGCCCACATGCTTTCATCTCCTCCTGCATGTCACCCTCGTGCTCACAACCAACTTGTCGGTTCCCATTCAGTCGGGTGCCACTCGAGCCACAGTCTGGCGTGTGATATTACTTGATGGTTTGTTTTCTCAGAGTATGGCCAATCCACATCCACTTCTTCCAGCACACCCTCCAGTTGTACACTTGGTTCCTGCTGGGTTGGTTCGTGCATTGCCAGAGATCCCTGTTGCTGATCTTTCCTGGCCGGCCATTTCATCTTGAGCGAAGTACTGAGCGACGACAGCTTTTGATGAAAGTTTGTAGTTTGTTCGAAGTGCTCCTGGTGACACGGCACCAAGTCTCTGATTCGTATAACAGCACTGACTGACTTCACATTGGAGTTGAAAATTCGGGTCTTATTTTCATTTTCATGCTGAGTGCTGTTGATCTATCTCCACGCAGAGTTGACAGAAGTGAAAGCTTGATTTGCTTTCCTGATCTTCGCTTCGATGATATACTCATTAGTTCCGTCCACCTGTAGTTGAAACGATGCTTCCCTGGTAGGTAGGTAGGTAGGTAGGTAGGTAGGTAGGTAGGTAGGCAGGTAGGTAAATGAGGTTGCTTCTTTCAGACTCCTCCCATTTATGCTGGCTGACTGTTTTCTGTTGTTTTTGCTGTCTCTGTTGGTGTTGGCCAGGAATCTTCATCACCTCTGTTTTCTCTATGTTCAACTTGTTGCTTTTCACTTGCATATCTTCCAATTTGTTGGAAATCAGACATATATAATCGGTGAAGTACAGATCCTCCAAGTTTTTGTGTGGCTCCATTATACGCCTATCTCCTCGTTGCCTGCTATCTGTCAACCGCGATCAGGAAAATCATCTGAGATAGTAGGCAGCCATCTTGTCTTACTCCCGTCTTCATTTCGAAGGATTCCATCAGTTTCCCATTATGGATTCCTTGGCGTGCAGCATTATCCTACAACTGTTGGATAAGATGTATAATTGTTGGCGGCACCAGTTTCTTGATACTTACTTATTACTATCAACTGTACTAGAAAGCGCTGAAGATATGGTTGTAACCTACAACTAACTACATTTTTAATTTTTTTAATATAGCTTTTTGCTATTCAAATAAATTAAGAAATAATATTCTTAATAAATATTCTTATATTATTCATACATATTGCGTTGCATCTGTTTTCATCTTGAACTAAGGGTATGAGATATGTACATTCAAGTCCACTTAAAAAGCATGGTTGGCTGAAATCTACAAATTGTTGTGTCGATGGTAGATGGGTTGTAAAAATTACAGACTATGGATTACCTGATATCTATAGTATATATGGCACAAATAGAAAGATAAAAGATGAAGGTATGTTATTAAATGTATTTACATTATATTTCACTTTGTTTCGTATAATACGTTTTGGTTATACTTGTGTTTTTGTTTTGTTGATAATGACTTATAGGTGAACCATTCTGATACGTATCAACTGGAGATAGCATCATCTCAGTTCACAATGAAATTGAAACCCACTTTCCAGATCTTCAGACTTCAGAGATTTATAAGCCACTGTTAGTTACATGGCTATATGTCTATCACTTGTTGTTAGAAGTTATCTTGAAGTTTACCGCTGTTGATTTTTAGCGGACTGAAGCTTATCCAGACAGATGGGCTACCCGTAGAGATGCAACTAGTGTGTTTACACGGCAGTTTATAATCTGGTGAATTTTGCCTTTTGTAAATTTCACAAAGTAAAAGTATGTTAAAAATATTCTCTGGAGTAGAAATATACTGATATCTCTCAACGAGGACACAGCACCATCATTTAGTTATCTCTCAATAATCCCTGGCGATCTTATTATATTTGAAATAACGCCAACTGAATTCCTTCATAATAAGTTAACTTGGCAAAATAAAAAAAACAACCATTTGATGAAAATATTTCAAATTAGCTGTAAATCTGTCGTTTACCTGTTAAAGCTGTATCGCAGTCATGCTTCCTGTACTCCTCTGAGCTTATGGACTGTAATGATGATGTATGTTATCCATCTAGATTTACTGCAGTTCATAGTGTTGAAGCAGCTCCGAAATTACTTCAGGATCAACGCTGTTGACGATTTGTTTGAGGCAGATAGTTGAGTGCCATTCTCTCCGTTGTGTTACAAAATGATCCGCTTACGGTTTGTTTTTATCTTAATGCAGCCTGTTCAGGAACAGTTTCTTGTTCTCTTAAGAATTACGCCGCTTAATATTTTGCTGTGAGTGGACGCAAGCATAATTCTGTGCTACATCAGCTCCTCTTAAGCAGTAGTTTCACAAGGTAGCCTTTCTTCCAATTCACAATTAGCTTCTCTTCCTTACAGACTTTCTGGAACACTGCCGTGACTATATTCGCTGAGATCTCAGGGTCCTTTTGAAGTACTTCTCTGTAAATCCCATTTATTCCTGTTGCTTCTAGTAGGGTTATCACTTTCACTACCTTTATATTGGTCGGAGGGCTGATGTTCACTGGTAACTGCATCTGCTGATAGTGTCTCTGGTCACTTTGTATAGCACTATGTAGTAGTAACTGATTTAGAAATCCCCTCACATGGAATGCTGTAAGAATGAATTCAAGAATCGTGCTTTGAAGTTTCTGTAGCGATTGACAAGTAATCTACAAAGGAAAAACCATTGAAACCTTTGAAGTGAAGACAGGAGTGTGACAAGACAGTCTTCCCACTATAGCTGATGATATTCCTAATTACGGTGGACTGGATTGTGCAACAGACCATGCGTGGGGAGTGAGAAGGCAGGAATGCGTCGGACCGATAAGAAGACTCTAGAATATTTAGACTTCACGGATAACGTTTGCCTGACGTCTCTTAAATTCGAAGATCCACAGACGGAAACCAACGAGGTGGCAGAATAGACAGGCCATGAAGCCATGACTTCAAATAAATATAGAGAAAAAATGGTGATGAAGACGACCAACTAATAGAAAGAATTATGTATCAGTTACCATCAGCGAGAGAAATTTGAATAAGGTCTCTCCCTTCACTTATCCAGGTAGCATCCTTTCAACTACAGGCGGCATAGATTGAGATGTCAAAGGCAGTCAGGATCAGGAAAGCAAGACAGGCCTTCAACACTCTGAAATCAGTCTACTGTACTAAGTAGGCATAAGGATCAAGATTCGGATTTTCGACACTCCAGTGTCAAACGTCTGTTTCTATATGGATTTGAAACTTGGCCGGTCAGGAAAAGCATTTACAACAGGCCGATGCAGAATTTTATCAACAACTGCCTTCTCTGGTATCATAGTGAAGGTCACATGATTGGCCAGAAAGGATTAGCAACAACGAATTCTCCTAACAAGCCAATCAAAAGCGCATTGCTGAACAAGTATTCTGAGGAGAATGGAGATGAATTCGACGCACGCTAAGCAGACCTTTGAATGACACTGTTCACTAGGCTGTCGAGTAGAACCTAAATTTGAAAAGACAAGTTAGGCGTTGGTCCGAGGGTGATATGGAGGAGATTGTGTGTGGTGGGGAGCGGAAGAGGTGATAGCTAATGGGCAGCCAGCTAAAGACAACTTCAGAGAACAAGATGAAATGTCGATGTTATTTGGAAGACCTATGTTCCACTCAGAACCTATTAGAACGATGATAAAAAGTATCATTCAAAAATCAATATTCAAGTTCAGGATGAAATAGGCATAAGTTCGTGATATAACGTAAAATACTGTTGATAAAGTTGTAGAGTTTGACTATTAAATTATATATGTCCAAACCAAATTCACTTTTAACATTTTGAAAAAAAATTTGGGCATTGGGTATATGATATTCATTATAATAAAAGTTTTCTTGTATTTTCCAATGAGTGAAAAACAAAACGATATTGTTTTTACTGACGTTTCGCTATTTAATGCTGCTGCCGATAGCTGTATCAAAGTGGTTTTATCACACCAGAATTTACAAAATCTCAGCTTATATATAATCTTTCCTCAGGATGGGGGGCATTTTTGTGTTGTCAAGTTGGCCAATTGGTATAGATAATAAAATCAGTTGTAGATTGTCGGATTTTACAAGTGTGTAAAATTATAAAAGCGGCATGTGTTTACATAATGGAATCGCTTATCACATTCGTGTTGATTTTGTCATTTCAAGGGAGAGGGAGGTGTTGTAAGCAGGTCAAATTCTGTTTTAGTCCATCATTCCTGTTCACCAGACAATTTGGATTCCATTTGATATGAAGTGCTTCTGATGATGTTAGACGTTCTTTGTGATTTCTGAAGTTTTTCTGGATTATTTCAATATTGTCAAAATCAATTTTGTGGTCTGATTCTATAGCGTGTAGACCCATAGGTGATAATTTTTCAAGCTTTTCCAGTTCAAATGGATTTATTTCTTGGTGGTCGAACAGATGCGACTCTACGGTGTTCATTTCTTCTGATTCCTTTGATTTCTGTCTCGTGATGTTTGTCTGATATATGTTGCATCACATTCCAAGCATTTTATTTTATAGACACAATTAGATAAAGAACCTTTAGAGATCTGCTCTTTTATACGAACAAGGTTGTTTCGCAGGGAAATACAAAAAAACCTTTATTATGACGATTAAACTTCATATAAAAATCCTGAGACACATATCACTCTGCTATTAGACTTGAAGTGCGTCGGTAGCACAGCGGTAGAATACTTGCTAACCACGCCTCATATGGTTCGATGTTCGATCCCTGGCCGCCAACGCACTCCTTTACCTCGCTAAGTCGGTATTAAGACTGGTAAAGAGGGAAGGTTGGGCATGAGCCACTGCTACCAAAACTTCAAGTGTCTAGCTTGAAGCCCTATATTCCACTGGGAACGTAAAAGAATAAAAGAAATTAGATCTGAATGAACAGATTTTTACTGTTTTAGAATTTCTCTCAATAGAAATTACACATAATATATGCATATATATATATATACTAACTTTGTGAAATAATATTTCATTTTATTTATAATATGCTATTAAGAATTACTATGGACTGCACCAGAACATTTACGTGAAGAGAACAATGTACATTTTGGTAGTCAAAAAGGTGATGTCTACTCATTCGCTATTGTAATGCAAGAAATTATAACACGTGATGAACCCTATGGAATGCTTGGATTAAGTCCAAAAGAGATATTGAGTAAAGTTCGTAAACCCCCACCGTTGTGTAGACCAAAAGTAAGTGTGAATAAAGGTGTCCTACTAATTCTGGTTGATAATTTCTATCTTTATTTCACACAACTGAATGAATTGCTTTCATTTGAATGTTTTAAAGACCGCTTGGTTATTGATGATTGATTGATTGATTTTTTGGTTCTAAAGAGAATATTATAGAACTGTTACAGGGGTTAAGTGTTAGCGGTTCAATGGTAGACTGTCAGGTAACCACATAACATGTGGTGCGGGATTCTATCGTCAACCTCCTTTAACCGATAGTAAACCCAGTAAAGAGGGAACACCGCATGTGGGGCCAGTAACCCCACTCCGTGAAAACAGTAAAATCATTGCCACTGAAACTTCGAAGCTTGTAACTTGAAGGCTTATCTTCCAGTAGGAACGCAAAGGAATCATGATGATTTGCTTTATTCCGAAATAGTACTTACCAAACATAGAGAAGAGACTTCGCAACACTCTACCAAACAACTAGGTACCTATCGGGAAAAAGTTTGACACAAATTAAGCCAGTGAAGGATGACAATGGAAATTCAATCACCAAAGAAGTGGAGCAAAGGAAACACTGGGCTGAACACCTCAAAAGACTTCTAAATCGACCACCACATACAAGTCGCCCAACAATACCAACAACGGAGACTGAGCTACCAGTGAACACCAACCCCACAACGAAATCAGAAGTCCTGAAGGCAATCAAGATGCTAAAAGCTGGAAAAGCAGCAGGACCAGAAGGAATCCCAGCAGAAGCATTGAAAACGGACCCGGAGACAACAGCGGACTTGATGACGCCACTACCGGAGAAGGTGTGGAAAGAAGGCAAAGTACCCGAGGATTGGAAGAAAGGATACTTATTCAAACTACCAAAGAAAGGAGACCTAAGTCAATGCAAGAACGAACGCGGAATTATGCTCCTGTCCATCTCAAGCAAAATACTAAGCCGCATCATCCTGGAGAGAATCAAACATGCCCTGGATGAAAAACTTCGACCGGAACAGGCTGGAGAAACAAGTCATGCATTGATCGGATCACCACATTACGGATCATCATTGAACAAATCTTCGAGTGGCAGTCACCTCTCTATCTCAACTTCATCGACTCTGAAAAGGCCTTCGACAGCGTCGATCGAGAGGTGATTTGGCAACTACTTCGCTACTGCGGGGTTCCACCGACAATAATACATCTCATCCAACAGCTGTACGACAATGCTGCATGCCAAGTAATCCACAGCGGGAAACTTACGGAATCCTTCGAAGTGAGGACAGGAGTAAGACAAGCTTGCTGGCTGCCTACCATCGCCAATGATTTTCCTTACTGCAGTAGATTGGATAATGCGACAAACAGCGGGCAATGAGGAAACAAGCATAAAATGGACTCACACAAAAAACTTGGAGGATCTTGACTTCGCCGATGATATATGTCTGATTTCCCACAAACTGGAAGATATGCAAGTGAAAAGTAACAAGTTGGCAGGAGAAACATCAAAGATAGGACTTCAGGTGAACATAGAGAAAACAGAGGTGATGAAGATTCCTGGACAAGAGCAACAAAAACAGACAACGATCAGCATAAATGGGAGGAACCTGAAAGAAACAACCTCCTTTACCTACCTTGGAAGCATCGTTTCAACTACAGGAAGACGGAACTGACAAGGTTATCAAAGCAGCGAGGATTGAAAAAGCAAGACAAACTTTCACTACTCTCAAGTCTGTGTGGAGGTCAACAGCACTCAGCCTCAAAACGAAGATAAGATCCGGATTTTCAACTCTCATGTGAAGTCAGTGCTACTCACTATACGGATCAGAGACTTGCACTGCGCGTCATAAAGGGCATCTCAAACAAACTACAGAGCTTCATTAACAGTTGTCTTCGCTCAATACTCAAGATCAGAAGGCTGACCAGAAAAGATCAGCAACAGAGATCTCTGGGAGCGAACCAACCCAGCAGGAACCGATTGTGAAACAAATATGCAGGAAGAAATGAAGATGGATTGACTGGTCATACTCTGAGGAAACCATCAAGTGAGTGACATCACTAGACAAGCCATTGCTTGAGTGGAACCCGAAAGGGAAGCGACGAGTTGGTCGTCCAATGGTGATTTGGAGGAGGTCATGTGAAGAGGAGATGAACACGTGTGGGCAGACTTGGAGCCACGTGAAGACTCTAGCAGAGAACCAAACGCAATAGAGACGCACGGTTGAAGCCCTATGTTCCTCTAGGAATTAAAGGAAACAATAATACTAATAAACATAGAGAAGACGGAGGTGATGAAGATTACCAACCAAAAGTAACAGCAATAACAGCCAGCATCAATCACCGTCAACGGGAGAGATTTGACAGAGCTTACTTCCTTCACGTGTCCAGAAAGTACCGTTTCAACCACAAGCCTGTGGCACGGATGAAGATGTCAAAGACAGACAGACAGCTAGAATCAGAAAGGCGAGGCAAGATACACCTTCATAAATTTGGAACCAGTTTGGAATTCTTCTGTACTCAGTCAATAGCATAAAGGAATAGATTCGGATTCCGTTCAACACAAATATGAAGTCAGTCGCTACTTCCATTTGGGGAAGAAATGTGGCCAGCTTGTCACGGAAAGAATTTCCAACAAGCCACTTCAGACTTTTATAAGCAGCTGCCACTTTTGCTGGCTGACTCCATCCTGAAGATCAAATAACCAGCCGGCCGACCAGCCAGAAAGAATTATCAACAAGAAACTCTGGCTGACTGGGAACGAACCAACAGGAGAAGAAAACAGAGATGGATTGGGCACACACTGAGAAGGCGATGGAAGATTACGGTCAGCCGTGGACCTAGACGAAGAGGATAGAAGAGAATAGAAGAAAGTGGATATGTGTTGTCGAAGACCTCTGTTCCACTCGGAATTCAAGGGAATAATAATAATAAACTTATCATACACCATTTGCTACAATATTGTATCTAATTTACCCAACAACCACAACAACAAGAAAACATTACATGGTATAGGTAAATAAAATGGATAATAGCAGTAACAAATAGTCGGAAATGTACAAAAATTATAAAGCAGTAATAATATTATTGATAACTGGAATTGTAAGATAAATGAAAGGCAGTCACCATAAATCACAAATAGAAGACCAAAGGGTCATTTATCGTGTTAATTACATAGTAAGTTTTAAGTTTCATGCTTAAGACTTTATCCATCATATAAAATCTTAGCCAAATGGGATATCGTTGAGTTTTTCTACTTGGTTATATGAGAACAGAATATTTTACAATGACTTCTAGTTCTCCTACCGGATGAGATGCAAGACTGCGAAAGTTGTTGAATAGAGAGGACGAAAAGAGGCAGACAATATGGCTTTTTCCCATTTCTCGCTTGAGTTCAGGTGTCTGTCTAATACATTAGTAAAGAACGAACTTAGTGGCACATTACATGTCCTGCCGAACAGCCTTTATTACCCTTCTCAATATGACATAGTAACTTTTGAGTAGCTCAGTGATGACTTAAGTGGAACAATAAAAAACAAGAGGTAAGATGGAGAAGTCAAAAGATTGTAAAAGTAGAAGTTCAGTGATTCCTGATTATGTTAATGTCTTAATGTAGAAGATTAGAAGTAACAATTTCTTAGAAACCAACAAGATATGGGATGACCAAGTAAAATCAGACGATAGAACTATTCTAGGGCATTTAATGCTTCACATAGTTTCTATTTCAGTGCTTTGCACGATAAAAGTATCAGCAGAAAGAACAAGTTCACGTAAATGAAGTTAACTGTGCTTCAGTGGCACAGTGGTTAGGACTCTCGCCGACTATGCACATGGTCCGAGGTTCGATCCCCTGCCAACGCACACCCGATATCTATGGTCGGCCTGTAAAATTTGGGCTACCGATATCCATGCTGAAAATTCCATACTTGTACTGAAAATACAGTGTGGCATCAAGCTGTAATCAAAAATAAATAAAATAAAAATAAATAAATTGTACCCATCGAGAAATTTAATGTAAGACTATTTAGCCGAGACCACACACTGAATTCAGTTCGACAAAAAGCTATTCATGATAATAAATAGTTGTTCAACCTACGTTTCGTGCTAGTTGTCACTCATTAGTCAACAAGACGTATCTGCAACCTTGAAGGAACTCATGTCCCTTCTGGGATTTGAACCCGCGTCACCCAGTGCCACCACCAGTCAGACACGTTACCTATGAGCTATTTTGGTTCACGATTGACCTCCTGGAGGACTGTAGTGGGCATTTTCATTGGACACTAGTAACTAGTATGATATGTCTAGTCCTTTCTTTGGTGCAGACTGAATTCTATCAATCAGGTTTGTAATGTGGCCGATTTGCTGACTGCTGAATGCCAACTAGCACGAAACCTAGGTCAGACTAGACTTCCTGCCGATTACCGCAAGCGAGCTGGCCAGTGTTTCTACATTTCTTATAGATAAGTAAAAAGAAGCTTAGTAAGGAAAGGAGAGTTCGCAACAGGAGTGAGGCAGAACAGACTGAAGTAAAATGAGAAGATATGGTAAAAAAGGAGTTTGGGGACTGCGAGTGAAGTTGAAAATTGAGCAGAAAGCCCCAGAAGTGTAATATCATCAAATCGGTGTGCACTATGATGGCGAGCTAACTGGAATGGTGGCCACACTGCAAACCTGACTGATAGAATTCAGTCAGCACCAAACAAAGGACTAGACATATGGCACCAGTTACCAGTGTTCAATCAAAGAAAGAATTTGTTTTGTTTACCACGTAACTGTAAGTGAACAGTAGTCAGTCTTTCATTTTATCTTTCTAATTTTTTTTTACTTTACAATCAAGGTATCACAGTCTGAAGCTCCACCAGCGTACATAGAATTTATGAAACGTGCATGGGCAGAGAGTCCTGTAATGAGACCGACATTTGAAGAAATTTATCAACAGTTTAGACTACTCAATCAAGGAAGGTAAAAGTATTTTTCACTATTCACTCATCTAGTTACTAGATATCCGTCTTGAGCCATTTCTGTTGCAGTGTACTCTTAGGCTATTCGATGAGCAGACCATCTGTTTCGAATCTCCCTCTCCGCATTTATTTTTAATATTATATTTCTTATGAATGATATGACTTAATTTACAGACTTTATTTAAGGGTAAATTACTTTAACATGGAAGTAAATGCAAGCAGTATTGAACACGAAATTTTGACTTCAGACCAAGTTAGCTTAGATATAATTCCATTCGTTTTACATGCCTTGGTTTATGCCTTGAAGTCACTGTCAGACAATAAGTTATCTATTTGTGTAAAATAAACCTGGACAGTTGTACAAAGCCTTTGAATATATTATTCATTTTCAAAAAAGACAACGGATTTCTGAGCATCACCCTGCGTGGTTAAGTAAAGGTTCGAACAAAATCCATTCAAAGAGCTACCCTATCTCAACTCGTGGATACAGAACACAAGATTGATGTTAATGAGGTACCTCACAAAATCATTTACCGCATACAAACTGATCTTAACTTCACCTTAAGAGTTCGTCCACTGAAGACTGCTAAGATTCTTGGGATCTACATTAAGAAACATAACTTGGGTATCCAAAATAAGAAGTTCAGGCACTGTCCTTACTTTGGTCATCAAGGTTCTAGTGATCCTCAATGTTTTGTAGAAATTTCCTTAATTTTATTTGTTATGCTATATTTCTATCATTATTATAATTTAAGCATCTTTAATGAACTGTAATTCCATTGATCTTACTTAACAAAACGACATTACTTAAAAAACACCAATATTGTTAATGACGACTATTCTAGAATATTCTACGTGTATAAACACATATATAATTGTAGAGCCAGAAGAGGAAATTATCGAAAAGAATGTTCTTTGTTCAATATATTTTTGTTTTTTCTAAATGTCTGAATGAATATTTTCGCTATACTGAAACGGAACGAAACTTGGTGCGTCACGAAAAGCATTTCCATCAAATATTCCGAAAAAAATGCAGATGGACTGGACATGCACCATTGAAGAGATCGTTAGGTAACATGGCATGTCAAGCCAATACTTGACTGGAACGCGAATGGGAAACACCCAGCTGGACATGGGTCGGAGGATGACATAGAGGAGATCGTATGAATGGGAGATGAGAACTTGTGGGAAATCATGGCGCCTGTTAAAGAGGGCTACAGAGAACAGAATGAAACTGAGGTGATCTGCAGAAGCCCTGTCAATTATCCACGTCTCTGAGGTCCTGGACCTATCGCTGGTTTCAGAAGACTTAGCCTAACATACAGAATACCATACTCTGTAACCGATGCGGAACAACAGGAAACGGTTTGGCAACACGATTATTTATTCATCAAGCGATAATGAAACAGATTTTCAGTGGTTAATTAGTGCTAAAGTTTTCGATTATATTTCTCCAATCTTCTGCCAACCAGTACACGAATAAGCAATGACAGTCTTCTTGTCTCCCGCCAAATGGAGACCAGTTCGAACAAACAAACTATGCAATGTTCACCAACAATGACAGACATAATAATAATAATATTCTGAAGTTAAATGTAAAGTTACAATATGCACTGCTGAACTATTTATAGAAATTTTATGAATACTTTAAAAAACAATTAAATCTCTATAATAATTGTACTATTTTAGAAAAATTAATATAGTCGATCATATGTTCAAAATGATGGAAAAGTATTCAGCCGATTTAGAAGATCAAGTGCGAGTACGTACAGAAGAATTAGAGACTGAGAAAAAGAAGACTGAACTCCTAATCGCAAGAATGCTTCCTCCGTAAGTTTTATTTGAAATGACTGTCTTATTTACTTGAGGTTCTTTAATGTCAAGAGGGTAACATTAGTGAACAATATGTTTATAAACGTTTAAGGGGACTAAATGGGCAAATATTATTATCTTTCTTATTTAATTCCCTTGCATTCTGATTGGAACACACGAGGGCTTCAGGCTGGAACTTTGAAGTTTCAGTAGCAACGGTGTTTATCTTTTGGCGAGTGAGGGTGGCGTCGGTGGCATAGCGGTTAGGACGCTCGCCGACCATGCACATGGTCCGGGGTTCGATCTCCGGCCGACGCACTCCTTTACCTCGCTAAGCCAGATATAATGCTGGTAAAGCGGAAAGGTTGGGCATGAGGCTAGCAACCCCATCCCGTAAAATGAACACTGCTACAGAAACTTCAAGCCACTAGCTTGGAGGCGCCCAATGTTCCACTGGGAACGTGAAGGATAAATAATAATAAATTAGAGTGAGGGTACTAGCCTGACTCCCAACCCCCCTTCTTTACCACGACTACTACTGGCTAAGAGAAGTTTAAGAGTGGGTCCATCAGAGATTGAACTCCTCACCATGTTTGTGGATGGTGAGTATTCTACCATTGGACCACCGACGCACACTGTAACAGGGTTCAACTAATTAAGTTGTTTATTAGATAGTTGGAAGCAATCGGCAGGAAGCCATGGACCTAGGTTTCGTGCTAGTTCGCACTCACCAGTCAACAAGGCGCATCTGCAAATGTGAAGGAACTCATGTGCCTTCTGAGATTCGAACCCGCATCATCCAGTGCCGCCTTCAGTCAGAGACGTTGCCACTGAGCTATTCGGGCTTGCTTGGTTGACCTCCTGGAGGACTGTAGTGGGTATTTTCATTGGACACTAGTAACTAGTGTGACGTGTCTAGTCCTTTGTTTGGTCCAGACTGAATTCTATCAGTCAGGTTTGCAATGTGACCACCATTCTAGGTAGCTCGCCATCACGGTGCACATTGATTTGATGATATTAGATGGTTGGAAGCAATGGTGGTCACATTGCAAACCTGACTGATAGAATTCAGTCTGGACCAAACAAAGGACTAGACACGTCACACTAGTTACTAGTGTCCAATGAAAATACCCACTACAGTCCTCCAGGAGGTCAACCAAGCAAGCCCGAATAGCTCAGTGGCAACGTCTCTGACTGAAGGCGGCACTGGATGATGCGGGTTCGAATCTCAGAAGGCACATGAGTTCCTTCACATTTGCAGATGCGCCTTGTTGACTGGTGAGTGCGAACTAGCACGAAACCTAGGTCCATGGCTTCCTGCCGATTGCTTCCAACTATCTAATAAACAACTTAATTAGTTGGACCCTGTTACAGTGTGCATCGGTGGTCCAATGGTAGAATACTCACCATCCACAAACATGGTGAGGAGTTCAATCTCTGATGGACCCACTCTTAAACTTCTCTTAGCCAGTAGTAGTCGTGGTAAAGAAGGGAGATTGGGCGTTAGGCTAGTATCCTCACTGCCTAAAAGATAAATGCCGTTGCTACTGAAACTTTAAAGCTCATGCTTGAAGCCCTCGTGTGTTCCACTCGGAATTCAATGGAATAAAAAAAATTATCATGACAATAATAATGGTAATCATATTTTGACTGTTACTTTCTCTATATGAAATAAATATTTATTTATTTATTTAAATATCTATAGTTTTAAATATTTTCATGAATAATTGCGTCCTTCCATTTGTTTTTAAAAAATATTTAACCCAGAGTTGTCGCCGAAACACTGATGTCTGGAAAAGCTGTTTGTCCAGAGGCATTCGATGAAGTGACAATATACTTCAGTGATATTGTTGGCTTTACGACAATCTCTGCATTGTCGACACCTTTTCAAGTTGTCGATCTGTTGAATGATCTTTATACAATGTTTGATGCAACTATTGATTATTATGACGTATATAAGGTAAGATAGATCATCGAAGCTTTTGATGAATCCTCTTTTTTCAACTGAATAACAGAGTTATTTCGGTGTTTACATGCAACCCAGAACATAAATAATGTAACATATATGTAGAAAATGAACATTTTAGTTGAGTATAATTACATATTAAATGAGATCATTTGATATAAGTATAAAGAAATAGGATGCCGGGTCAAGTTAAACTTTAAGCACCACTAACTACCATTCAGTGAATGACCTTGAATGGTCTTATGAGTTTCATTCAAGTAAGTTGAAGGTTCTATTACTCTTGATTCGCGTCAAATGTCTGCTCTAACGCAGTTGCGCTAGCAGTTTGGTGAGGATAAGGTTTTCTAGTATTGCTTGGATGTGAGGTATATGGTGGACCAAAACTACACAAATCAAACATTCCCTTATGACCAATCGTTTCGCTTCCAGGAACACCAACATATAATCTATGTAAAGAACTTTTCAGGAAATTAAATTACCTAACAGAATCATGTGACCATTCTATCAATTCTTCAATCCAACTTTTAGAGAAAATCAAAAACATTCAAGTAGAAGACAATGAAAAGTTCTTTAGATAGATTATATTTTAGTGTTCCTGGAAGCGAAACGATTGGTCGTAAGGGAATGTTTGGTTTGTGTAGTTTTGGTCTACCATAGAATTGAGGTAAAATAGGCCCGTTAGATTTCATTCGCCATTGATCTTGTTCTGTAATTTGTCCTGATTTCGTTAGTTTATTTAACGTTTTTCTGATTTTGTTATCTAATGTTTGTATAGGGTTTTTTGTCAACTGTTGATATACATTATTATCTTTGAGTAAATCCTCTGAATTTTTTACGTAGTCTTCTGTGTCCAGGATTACTGTTGTTCTTCTTTTATCAGCCGATAGAATAACTATATCTTTTCTGTCCTTCAGTTTCTTCAGTGCATGTTTCTCTTCAGTGCTAAGTTGGGAATTATGTCTTTTCTGTTTGAGTATAGGTATGATACATTGATGTACTTCTTGTTATACTTCCTCATTTAATTTTGATAATTTGAGTGATGATTCTAAGGAAGCACAGAAATCTGTTACTGAAGCGTCACCAGTATTGTAGTTGAGGCCTTTCTGAAGAAGTTGTTTTGACAGATTTACTACACAATCATTTAGAGCTTCTTCAGATGGTTGTTTGGATATCTTAGCTAGTTTTCCTTTGAGAACGACTCGTCTTCGTTCCTTGTGTCGTTCGCTTAATATCTTAATGGCTGTATTCAATGTTGACAGAGATTCTGGTGTAAGAGTCTGTTCAACCTTTTCCTTATGGAATCTAATCATATGCTGGTATTTTTTAATCCTATTGTGTGCAACCGTGATCATTAATTTCACCATTTGTTTTCCATGTTGTTTGGCTAATTTCGAGCCTAGAGGGCAGTTAATTGGTAGTTTATATTTGACACTATACTAGCAATAATCTAGTTACTCACAAACGAAACTGTGTGCAGACATTGTTTAAAAGAGTTCAAACACATTGTAGCACTCCAGAGTTGAAAAGAATGGAAGAAAAATACTTACAAACGGTCTTCAAAAAGAATAGTTATCCACAAAATTCCATCAAAAAGTGTTTAAAGTCGAATCAAAACACCAAAAAAGCACCATCATCAAAGACCACAAGAAAATTCATTCTACCATGCATGAGAAACATCTCTGAAATAACAGCAAGAATACTGAAACAGTTTGGTATAGATATAGCACACAAGCCAGTCAAATCGCTTAATTCAATATTATGCAAACTGAAAGATCCAACAGAAAAAGGGGATAAAATTAATACCATTTACAAAATAAATTGTTTGAACTGCAACAAACATTACATCGGCCAAAGTGGGCGTCCCCTTCGAATTAGAATCCAGGAACACAAATCAACCGTGAAAAGACACAATATGTATTCTTTAGTATCAATGCATACAGACAATTATGGTCATCAATTTGATTGGGACAATGTCGAGATCTTAGACAGAGGAAACACCAAAAGTGCAGTCAGGGAAATCCTAGTAGCCTGGTACTCAAACGAAAATGCAATTAACAAACACGTTAATATAGACGAAATATACCAACTAATAAAAAGTAAATCAGGTGACCAGAAAGTTTTAAATCCAAGTCAATAGAAAATGGTCAATACATATGTAAAGATAGTTACCAGGAGACGCAACTATATCATTCATGAAGAAATTTAAATCATTTCACTTTATGCTAAATATTGCGCTGAAGGGAGATGGTGTCCAGAAGGACGACGAAAGCTCCGCAACTAAACCAACCAGCTCAGAGAACATTATTAATTGCAAATAATAAATTGTTTTGGAAACCTTTTCATCCAGTAAACAAACAGTAATACTGTTTCATTCTGTGTGATATATCTAATAAACAAACTAATTTGGAATTACTTACTGCCACTGTGCCCAAGTTTTACACATACAACAATATATAATGTATATTTTGAAATAATTAGTTCTATCGTATGAATTTTTACAAAACAATAAGAAGACTTAATTTATCCTCAACCATGTAATGTATTTACCCAAAACATTTGAAATAGTCTGAACACACACGTATTTGTCGTGGAAACATATATACAAGAAAATAATAAAGAATTAAGGGGTGAGAGAATAGGTATAGGTCATAATAACAAAAGAGATCACGAAACCAGTGAAGGAAGGTAACGTTACCTCTGCCCTGATATCAAAACAAAGTTTACCAAGGAAGATATAATATGATGGCAAATAGTTTTTGAACACAAAATGGTGTTTTAAACTTCCCAATCAACCTAGGGCTTCCGCAAACTTTAGGATACGCACTAAACACTTTTCACAGATAGGTTTAAGTCCGTCTCTATAATATGCTACACAATAAATGAGCAAGGTCGTGTGTTTTCACCGTTAATGGGTTCAGGGGAAATCATTTAAGGGGAAGGCTTTGAAGCCTTTAATTGTAAAGATTGGTGAGTCCTCCTTATATTGGATGTGTGACCATATATACATTCAAATTGGTGTATACAGTGGGTTGTGATATCATCTAGTTTGCTCTAATAGTCTTGGATGGATGTAAAGGCTTCACAATCTCAATTATTAAGATCCTAACTGCATAGAAAGTCTTTTTAACCACAACATCCAATCTTTGTGTAGTTAGCAAACTGTTATGATCACCTTTGCCAGGCAGCTTGAAAATATATACATCCTTCTTGGCGACCAGTTGGAGAGAGCAACTTGGAATCCTAAGCATCTCGTATCCCCTTATGAACTCCTCTGGATAATTATTATCAACTTCAGGTGTATCTTCTTTGCGTATTATTTGAGTTCTATTAAAGAAACACCTTACTAAGACTCTTTTGTACCGAACACAAGAGAAGCTGTGTGTTAATTAAGATATGGTCTTGTTTAGGTAGGTTTTCTGTAAATAGATCGTTTTATTGATCCATCATGTCATCTACTGAATAGGCAATATATCTAGGAGAGATAAACAATTATCTTCCTCTTCTACAGACATAAGTGATATGCTATTCTGAACTTCATTCATTCCGTTTAAAATTGAAGTGACAGAACAAAGATTATCACTTATGACTACATTCAATTAAATCTCCTGATTAACTCAATGTACGACCTATAGATATTCGCTAAAAGTGTCGCCAATGGGCTTCCCACAACAATACCGTTAATCTGACGGAAACAATCGCCTTTATGTATGAACTTTTCATTACCATTACATAGAAAAAGCCTTATTGGATCCAGTCAAAAGACATTTCTGTAGGTATATATATTCAAGCAAATATTTGAACTGATTAATTACCCTGATGGTATGAACATTTAAAATAAAAGTACATATATATTCTTTCGTTGTGAACTCTTCATTCAAATGAAATTTTGTATGATCACATTTCTATACATAATTTCTTAATCCTGTCTCCTCTTTCTTATTTAAAGAATTTATTACTTCTATACATGACAGTGTTCCTTTTGTATTCATTGCACTGGCTTTATGAACAAAACCGATATCTGTATATAACTTCCTCTCTTTTTTAAAAATAACCCTAAAGGTTGAAACTATTGGTGATGCATACATGGTGGTTTCCGGCTTGCCTGTACGTAATGGTCGATTACATGCAGGTGAAATAGCAACTATGGCGCTAGACTTATTAAGCCAGTGTGGAACATTTGTTATTCGTCATATGCCTGATGTACCGCTTAGATTACGTATTGGATTACATTCAGGTAAGAATTCCCACTTTTGATATTAATGCTGGTGTAGTTATTTACAATATTCTTAAACTTAAGCATCAGTAAAATCGGTCTTAACTACAGTATTAGATAATTGGTGAATAGTGACTAGCAATGGGACCCAGGATCCTCATTTTGTCCTATTTGGGACTCGTAAGCTAGTGGATGAACCTGTATTCCCCAGTGAGTAATGGTATTCCCACAGAGACTCGAACCCAGTGCCAATTATTCCAAACGTCACACCGTTGTCCAGTAGATCAACTGGGCCACAAGAGCTACCTCTTGTACATCGGGTTTCAGTTATTATTGACTTTTAATTCAATTTCGGCTTTCCCTTTGATTGACTGGACTGAAATGTTCCTCCTCTGTTGGCATTTCGGCTCCTTGTGCGGATGCTTCGACGATGTCTAAGGATTAACCAGAAGTAATTTGGTGGTAGATGGTGACTAGCAGAGGACGAAATGTACATCCTGGACTCCACTGCCTTGAGACTGGCGTTAAAATCGGAATCTTCTTCTTTGCGCTTAGTGTAGTGGATTTCCACACTGATTTCAAGGCAATGAAAGTCTGTATTACTTTCCGACTGTCTTTTTGACACCATCAGGCTAGCCATCTGCCTGTAGTTGAGACTATGCTTCCTAGATAAGTGAAGGAAGTGACTTCCTTCAATTTTCTCCGGTTGCCAGTTATTGGTACTTGTTGCTGGCTGGTTGTCACCATCACCTGCCTCTTTTCTATGTTCACTCAAAGTTCTATCTTTGCTACTTCATCTGAGGACTTGTTGGTTTTCGCCTGTGGATCTTTGAGTTTGTGTGACATTAGACATAAATTGTCATAGAATTCTAAATCTTCTTGCACGTCCAACCTTCTCCTGTCTTCTCGCTCCCCACCACCTGCTGCATAACTAAGTCCACTGCAATCAGGAATATCGTCACTTGGGTGTGTGATAACATCTTAGTGTGTCTTATCTGAGTAGCAGTATAAGGGGAAACAATTTGAAAAAACAATTTTTAATCAACATTTTCAGAAAAACTTCTTTGCTTGAAGGTACAAACTCCACCGACTAGATCAGTCTTTTAATAAAATAGTACTGTTGCGCAGTTCTACAGAGAATTCGTCGCGATAGTTCTTAATATTTAGTTTAGAGGTGGAGTTTGCTAGAGTTTAGGTAATGATACCTTTACACTACAATCCCATATGAGGTGACATGTGACTGACTAGAAGTTTCGTAAGAATAATGTCAAGAAGTGAATTTTTCAGGAGTATTAAATTCAGATAACATTTCGAGGATCCTTTTGAGGATCACTTCTCGGCTGTGTGAGCTAAGATCATGTGTAGTATCTGTTCTTTGCAGTGTAATCTCTGCAACGGTCTCTAAACTGAAACCAACCAAAATTACCTGTATTTTCCCCTAACGTATGAGTGAGGTGAGCTTACTTAACCTCGTCTACTGGTCGGCAGAGTATTGCATTACCTCGAGGATTGTCCCATTTTTCGTCACAATGACTCAGTATATTACGAGATCACCTTGTAACCTCAAAGTCCTGGGTTCAATAACTGGTTGGGTCATTGGTGCGCACTGATAAGGAATCCCCATCTAAGATGAAACAGTTGTTCAGTACTCCCTGGTATTAGGTGCATCGGTAGTTCAGTCGTGGAACATTTGCCAACCATGAAGGTGGTGTGTGGCACGATCCCAGGCTGACGAATTCCTAAACTTCGCTTAGACTGTAGTAAGACCGGTAAGGAGAGAAGAAGAAGGCTAACAACTCCACCCCGCGAGAAAGAATAACACCACTACCACGGAAGCTTCAAAGCCTAAAACCTATAGAAGTCAACAGCTTTGACTCAAGTTGGTAAACTTTCCGGTAAGAAATTTTCACATTTATCTGCATCGTTGAATAGAGTTGAGTTGGTTAACTGTCTGACTGATTCTCCTGTCGTGCAGATAACATGACTTTTACCACCTCGTTATTTTGCTATGAATTTACTAAATTCCATGTAAATTATATCAAAATGAACATGCCAGTGGAGTCTCTCTAGTCGACTTTTAAGCAGTCAGTTAATCTCTTCTATATTAAGCTATTACTCAGTGTTTGACAGAGAACTTAAAGTGGGCTAAAACTGTAGGAACATTTAGTCTCTCTAGGCACCTTAACACCTATACTTGAGAAATTTATTCCTGTAATATTTTACAAATAGGATCACGCTTAGATCACTTATATCTGACTCCAGACAAAAAATGACTGTCTTTTCTGTTAACTTTTAATTCACTTTAGGTTCATGCGTCGCTGGAGTAGTTGGCCTGACGATGCCACGTTACTGTCTGTTCGGAGATACAGTGAATACTGCATCAAGAATGGAATCAACTGGATCTGGTATGCGTATAAAATTATTCTTGATTAATGATAATATACATTTAGTAATTTTTACGACAGTAAGAAACGAGTTAACTTACTGATATGATAACTTGATTGAACTGTTTTTGATTCGTTTATTTATGAATTAATTATCTAAGAGATTGCGATATCTTACGACCAATCAGATTTGTTTATTTATTTATGGCTTAAATTTCTGAGGTTTTGTGAATATGAGTGAGGGGAATATTCTCAAGTGATCAGTTGGTTATACTGACGTGTTTGAAGGTGCATTCTAGTCAAGTTAACTGGATCCAGTAATCTAGTAACACTCCATCATAACAATAAGAACTCACTTTTAAATTCAATATAAATGGGAATAGCATTATTTCGGTACTTGCAGCCAATAGAGGTAATCTCATGGACAGATTTCTGCAGATTTCATCGGGTTCAGACAATATGAAATGAGAAAGTAAGGTTAAAAGCCTCTGTGTTAGAATGAAATGTACAAATTACATACATCTTAATAAAATGGTTCCAAACCACTTCTATCCGACAGATAGTCACACAGACTTCCAATGAGAAATGCTTATTTTAGACGACCGGAAGCTTGTTGGCAATCACTGGTCAGCAAGGCGTATCTTCAATCTTGAAGGAAATCATGTTCACTGTGAGATTCGAACCCACGTCACCTAGTGCTTCAGTTGGAGACGTTACTATTGAGCTATTCGGACTCGTGATTGACCTCCTGCGACAAACAGCGGGCAATGAGGAAACAGGCATAAAATGGACTCACACAAAAAACTTGGAGGATCTTGACTTCGCCGATGATATATGTCTGATTTCCCACAAACTGGAAGATATGCAAGTGAAAAGTAACAAGTTGGCAGGAGAAACATCAAAGATAGGACTTCAGGTGAACATAGAGAAAACAGAGGTGGTGAAGATTCCTGGGCAACACCACAAACAGCAACAACAACAACAACAGACAACGATCAGCATAAGTGGGAGGAACCTGAAAGAAACAACCTCTTTTACCTTCCCACCTGGGAAGCATCGTTTCAACTACAGGAAGACGGAACTGACGAGGATATCAAAGCAAGAATCGGAAAAGCAAGACAAGCTTTCACTACTCCCAAGTCTGTGTGGAGGTCAACAGCACTCAGCATCAACAATAAGATCCGAATTTTCAACTCCAATGTGAAGTCAGTCAGTGCTACCCATTATACGGATCAGAGACTTGCACTGCGCGTCACAAACAGCATATCAAACAAACTACACACCTTCATTAACAGTTGTCTTCGCTCAATACTCAAGATGAGATGGCCAGCCAGAAAAGATCAGCAACAGAGATCTCTGGGAGCGAATCAACCAGGAACCAATTGTGAAACAAATAGGCAGGAAGAAATGGAGATGGACTGGCCATACTCTGAGGAAACCATCAAGTGAAATCACGAGACAAGCCCTTAAGTGGAACCCGAAAGGGAAGCGGCGAGTTGGTCGTCAGTGCAAGGGTGACTTGGAGGAGGTCATATGAAGAGGAGATGAAAATGTGTGGGCAGACATGGAGCCAGGTGAAGACTCTAGCAGAGAACCGAATGCAATGGAGAGATGTGGCTGAAGCCCTATGTTCCTCTAGGAATTAAAGGATACAATAATAATATAATAATAATAACTGTAATGGATACTTTGATTAGTAGTGACTCATCTCATACGTGTAGTCCTTGGCATGTTGCAGAATGAATCTTTTCAGTGGTGTTTATATACTAATTAGTATCACAGGGACAAAATAGGTAGCTCTCAAGTTATTGACACTGTACACATCTACCAACGTATTTCACTTGAAAGCCAATAAATAACAACTAATTCGTAGGCTAAATTAAATACAAATACACAGAAGTAGACTTAAGCATACGGTGAAGTATAAAGAACCACAATTTTTATAAATTTCTGCTTTTTCACCAAGATAGACTAATGAAATGGTTGTTAGCAAAACTAACGCTCGCCCTCTTTGCCCTCACAGAAGTCATGGAAAATCACTACCTAACACAGAAATGTAACTGGTAACATGATTTACATCAAAATATAAGCAAAAATGACATGAGTTTTACTGAGCGTCTATTAATCATTTTTGTAGGACCGGATGATTAGAATTTGATTAAACACTACAGTCAGTCAAGCAAATATTCCCGTCTATGAATTTGAGGAAAATAATTTGTGCAGAATAAGATGGCTCCATCATTTATTTCGTCCGCTTCTCATTAGATGCAAACAACCTGAAAACAGTGTAAATTAGTTTGTAGATAGAGATACTGTAACATACTTGATATCAGCTAACAGGAGACTCTAAATGCAAGTCAAACGGTGGAGGTTCAAGTTTAAACAAAAATATGAATTTGTATAAGGAAAGGAAGGCGAAATTTTCAGTATAAAATGATATCATCATTCTATTTGACAGGTTCTCATCAGTTGCAGACTACCTGAAATTACAATAGATGATAATAACATACTTTAATGTTTAGGCGGTAGTAGAGAAGAGATACTATAAAATTGACGCATCGAAAATGTAAGCATTACAATTTTTAGTTTAAGTTTTCATCATCAATTTATAAGCTTTCAAAGTAGAAGAGAGAGGGGAGGGTTAAGACAGAAAACAGAAAAAATTAAAAAGAACAGTGTGAGTTTGTAGGTTCACGTAGCAACTAATGCTACATATCACCAATGGAGAAGCAGAAGATGCTAACCTAATGAGCATAGAATAGCTCTGAAGAAACTATATTAGAACGATGACATCGTCATATTTAGACCTGATAAAGGCTCTGGTATTGTTATAATGAGCAAAGCTGATTATATACATAAAATGGTGACAATTCTGAACGACGCCAAAAAATTCCAAGTAGACAACAAAAAGGATGCCACAACGCCATTTGAAAATAAAGCAAATAAATGTCTCAAAGAACTTCTAATGAAGAAACTAATAAACAGCGGAACATACAATGAACTGAAGTCAAAAGGTGGACGCTTGTCGTTTATGTATGGCCTACCAGAAATCCATAAGGAAAATGTGCCTTTAAGACCGATCCTGTCAATGATTTGCTCACCATGCCACAAGCTGTCTCTATGGTTAGCTGATTCTATAAAGCTGATTCGAATTAAATTTGCAACCCACAGCCTGAAGGATAGCTATCAATTTTCCAAGGAAGTAGACAATATTGATATATCAAACAAACTCATGGTATCGTATGACGTGACCTCCTTGTTTACAAACGTACCACTGATGAAAACAATTGATATCATTTGTAAACAAACGGATCTATTATCATTACCGGAAACAGAGATGAATGCTACTACTGCTGCTTTGCACAAAAAATATACAATTCAAATTCAACAACAAACTTTACCGACAAATTGATGGGGTCGTGATGAGTTCGCCTCTGGGACCTATTCTGGCTGATATCTTCATGGGCTACCTTGAACAGACACTAGTGAGTTCTGCTATCAATGGAACAACCTACTATCGCCGATATACTGACGACACATTTGTTGTTTGCAACGACATGGATCACGCATCGGCATTATATGATCGCCTCAATGAGACCCATCCAAACATCAAATTTACCATGGAATATGGACATAATAATGAGTTCAATTTCCTCGATCGAAATGCAGAAAGAACAAACGAAGCTGCGATTGAAAAGTTCATCGATAGAAAAGAAAGCTGGGCTGGGCAATATAATAATAATAATCTTCACTATGACAGCTTTTGTCCCATAAGCTATAAGCGTGGATTAGTGAGGACTTTGTACGACACTTCCAGGAAGTTATGTTCACCAAACAAGGTTGAAGAAGAATTAGGTTTTGTCGAGAAATGCCCAAGAGAAAATGAATACCCTAAGGGATTTATCCAAAAGTGTGCGTCGGTGTCACAGTGGTTATGACTCTCGCCGATCATGCACATGGTTCGGAGTTCGATACCCTGCCGACGCACACCTGATATCTACGGTCGGCCTGCAAAATTTGGGCTACCGATATCACATGCTGAAAATTTCATACTTGTACTAAAAAATACGGTGTGGAGTCAAGCTGTAATAAAATTTTAAAAAAGTATAGCAGATAAAAAGATAAGAAAGAAAAGCACCCAACTGTAGAAAACAAGGTTAGGCAGCAAGTTCGATCCATGTCATAGAAACAGAAGATAAGCAAAGTTACACTATGGCGAAGGGGAAGATTTTAAAGCGAGAGATTACGTAATCAAATGAAATAGATGGTCTATAGACATCAGGTTTCAAGGCAAGGTAATACTGATGACTGCTTCTTTCTGAACAAACAAATTGACAACAGTTGCTTTGGCAAACTTGAGGAGAACTGAACTTTACTGTATGCTGATAATTTTAAAGGATTTCATGGCGTCTACCATATAACCTATATCAACAAGATGCTTAGAAGTATTGGTCTTTAATCTTATTAAAGAAACATTAAGTAATGATTTAGATATAATAGAGAAGATTTGTAGCTCAGGTGGATGATTTTGGTGTGGTTGTGTTCTCTGAGCTGGATGGTTTGGTTGCGAAGCTTTCATTGCTCTACTGAGCAACATCTTCAGCGCATACTTCGATGTGAAGTGAGCTTTTAGAATTCTCTATGAGTTTATTAGTCATCTCTTCTGGTAACCTGAAGTTTGACTTCAGGTCAAGGAAACAGTCAACACCAAAACAAGTGAACTAGAAAGTGAGAAGTCACACAAAAACAACCAATCACGTTCAAGGTTAGCAGAAGGAATGACTAACGACATTCAGACCAAAGAAGAAGCCAGCATCGAGACAAGCAAACTAGGGGATGAAATGTCACACGAAAACAACCAATCACGTTCAAGGTTACCAGAAGAGATGACTAATAAACTCATAGAGAATTCTAAAAGCTCACTTCACATCGAAGTATGCGCTGAAGATGTTGCTCAGTAGAGCAATGAAAGCTTCGCAACCAAACCATCCAGCTCAGAGAACACAACCACACCAAAACATTAAGTAACGATGACGATTATTTATTATTTTACCCCTTTACGTTCTCAGTAGGACATATGGCTTCAAGCTAAAGCTTTAAAGTTTCGGTAGCTGTGGTGTTTATTTTTACGGGATGGGGTTGCTAGTCTCATGCCCAACCCTCCTTCTTACCGGGCTTATTACTGGCTTAACGAGGTAAAGGAGTGCGTTAGTGGCCAGGGGTCGAACTCCGAACCACATGAGGCGTGGTTGGCGAGCATTCTACCCCTGTGCCCCCGACGTACTTGAGCAGCGATATTTGATTGTTTATGCTTTTTTCAAAATTTCAATTGATATATTTATGTATTCATGCTTTCTTTTTACAATTTTAAGCTTTCCGTATCCATGTCAGCCCAACAACAAAATCTATTCTGGATATTTTGGGTGGTTATCATTTGCAGTTACGTGGTAAAGTTGAACTGAAAGGCAAAGGTTTAGTTGATTCATTTTGGTTAATTGGGAAGGACAACTTCAATAAACCACTACCTGATCCACCCCCACTGACAGAGTAAGTATGCTGCCTTTCTTGTATTTCCCCTTAAAATGAATAAACTTTCAATACAGTGAAACTAAAGTATCAGAAGAACGTGGTTTTTCTCGGTATGACCTCTCAATTTCAAAAGTTTTGTTCTTTCCCAATTAAAAGCACTATCCACTGGGAAAGCTTGCAGGGTTTTAAACGATTTTAGCATCATAAAATTAGAATATGTGATGTGGCGGGAGTTGTCCCCTGAGATTTGCTGTTCATATTCTTAAAACAAAGTATTACATGGTTGGAGGTAATCGGTAGGAAGCCCTGTTTAGCCTAGATGTCAAGCTTGTTGGAACTTGTCACCAGGGAATATTTGAAACCCCGAAGGAACTCATGTCTCAACTGCGATTAGAACCCGTGTCACCCAATGCTTTAGTCAAAGACGTTAACACAGAGCAACAATGTTTCGGTTTAGTGGAAATTTTTGAGTTAACTCTATTCATAAGCAACTTTTTTTCAAGCAAACATGTCCGTAAAGCTGAAACATTAATGCACAGTGTCCCAAAACGTAATTTCCAGCAATATCTGTGGTGTAGCAGCCATTATCCACACATATTTATTTTCCTGCTCTATAATCACATTTAGACTACGCAATTTAATTTTGTTTTTATAAATATATTTCAGCCCGTGACAGGGATTAGTCTTGGAATGTTCTACCTTATTAGTTAATTAACTCACTTCGTCTCGGAGAAATATTTTCTCTACCTCTTCAACATGTTCAACGTTTCATTTCCAAGACTTAGTTTCTGGCGATTTGATTTGTTTCATGTCTGATCAAGGACTGAACTCAGTTAGAGGACCAGGGAGTACTGTTTCGTCCTAGCTTGGGACTCTCCATCAGTTTGCAGTCACTACCCCACAGGAGGACGGGCCTAGGACTGTTAAATTATGAGTTCAAGCTCCTGAACCATTCGACCACTTGGGTCTGAATCCAGCGGCCCATGAATTCTAACTTCTACAAGAACCGGAAAATCCTGGCTTTCATCCACACTTAGTGTATAACATTGAAGAGTCCCAAACAAGGACGAAGCATTTTTCTCTATGGAAATCACCTTGTAACGTAACTGTTCTTTCTTCTAGTAACTATTAATTTAATGGTTTTCACCTTAAGTTATCATAAAATGATTGAAGTGTAAGTAAGTGAGCAAAAACATTTGACCTTTTAGTTCCAATTGATAATGAGACAGCCGAAATCTTTGCGTTTATTTTTATTGCTTAACATTGAAAGCTAATCGGAAAATATCAAGTGTTAGATTTCATCACTAATAAACATTAGTTAAAGACATCGTTTAAAACCGGAGAGAATTAGACACCCATTTAGTCCTATTTCGGAACTCTTTAGCAGTGATCACCAACGATCCCACCAGATGAAGGGGATACTCGTAGAAAGCATCGGTGAAGGTAGCGCTATATCGCGAATTGACATAATTAGAATTCACAGGTCAATGAATTCCAGCTCAAGTGACTGACTGCTTGGTTTCATAACTTGAAGGTCCCATGATCTATCCCTGTTGGTGTTGCGGATGCACACTGATGAAGATCCAAAACTAGGATGAAACAGCTATCCAGTTTCCTTTGGCTTTCTAGGATCTCTCTAACTAATGTTGGTTGGTGATAAAATCTAACAGGTGAAGTAAATACGAATCCCCACAAATCTTATAATCTAAATATTAAATGGAAAATAGTTTTTGATATAGTAAAAGATACTTTTCAAGAACGTTTGGTAAACATCTAACATGTTGGCTCCAAAGGGGAGTAACCACACCGATAAATTATTCCATCTTATCCACTGTGTGGGTACAACCGACACCATATCATATTATCCATTGTCGAACAATTTGTCTAGACGTAGACAATTATGTCTTTCATCCCTAAGTGAAGGCATGTTAATCAGGAAGAGAAATGCCCACCTACTCATCCCGGAAAGTTGCCCAGTTAACTAGCCCATCCTCAGCCTAGAAAGAAGAGAAGGTTTGGCGTGTGACTAGCAACTGAATCCCATAAAAAAATAATCATTCCGATGCCAATGAAACATTAAATCGCAGATAGGTCACAAGGAACTTTGCCAGCAATTCAACCAAAAATCTATTTCCCGACAAATGCGCCGAGGAGAATGGAGACGGATAGAACCTCGATTGGAATCCGAATGGAAAGTGGTGTGTTGGGAGACCAAAGGTGACAGGGAGAAAACTTTGTCAATAGGAAATGAAGACTTAAAAGTGGTTGTGGAACCAGTTGAAAATAATAGAAAAGAAGCAAGTGTAGTGGAAATGTTCTGCCCTTTGTTTCGTACAGAACGCAAGCAACGAAGAGAGTGTAACACAAATAATAAGTATGATATGGCATAGCGGCAAGTAGTAATTGAGGCAATAAACAGTACCATATTATCCACTTTAGTGAATAGTAAATACCACTTAAATATAGAAGAAGCATTTGCAATGATTTTGATGTAGTTGTGTTCTCTGAGCTGAATGGTTAATTTGCGAAGCTTTCATCGCCATACTAGGCGACATCTTCAGCGCATACTTCAGTTCGTCGAAGTGAGCTTTTAGATTTCTCCACGAGTTTATTAATCATCTCTCCCGATGACCTTGGACGTGATTGGTTGTTTTTGTGTGTGTTTCACACCCTCCAGGCTTCTTGTATTGGAACTGATTGTTTCCTTGACTTGAACTTCCACCCTTTATGTGTGAGGTTTCCTTCTTATCGGTTGATAAATTTTGTCTATGTCGATGTGTCTATTGATTGATGATTCATTGGAATACCAGGCTTCTAAAAATTCTCTAGCACTCTTGTTGTTTCCTTTGTCAAAGTTCAAGTGAAGGAAACAATCAGTTCCAATACAAGTAGCCGCCTAGAGGGTGTGAAAACACACAAAGACAACCAATTACGTCCAAGGTCACCAGGAGAGATGATTAATAAACTCGTGGAGAAATCTAAAAGCTCACTTCGACGAATTGAAGTATGCTTTGAAGATGTTACCTAGCAGGGCGATGAAAGCTTCGCAAATTCACCATCCACTTCAGAGAACACAACCACATCAAAATCATCCATCTGAGCTACAAATCTTCTCCATCATATCTAAGCATTTACAGTGACATATCTAGTGCTCAACAATTTGTGTAGAAATACGAGATCACATCATTTATTCACTATCATGACAGACGTAATTATCTCATATCTTCATACCATATTATGTTCTACCCCCCCCCTTACACCTTAACAACCTTCTCTCTCTCCTTCCTATACCCTCTCACCTAGTTGATATTACGCTATTATTATTTCTCACCCCTTTAATTTACGCTCAGCTTATCCTATTGGTCTACTGCATTCGTATTATCTCACAATCAACAGATTATAATTCACCCCTTTATACCTTATTTATAAATTTCACAAGCATACCACCGTGTTAGGCAGAAGTACAAATACTCGCCATTGATAGCAGCTGACAGCTGAGCTATATTTATCACGAATTGGCAGAAGTTGGAATTCATGCTCCATAGGTTCGGGTTCCAATGGCTGAATGGTCTATGAACTTGCCACTTAACCAGAAGGTCTTGCAGTACGAACAGTTGAAGAGTCCCAGTCTGGGATGAGATGGTTGTCCGGTGCTCCCTGACTTTCCAATAGTTCTCTAACTCGCAAAATATACATATTAGATCATAGGAAAAATTAAAAAGACGGTTGCAGCAAAGAAAATTTTCTTTTCGATGAATTCATCAACTAGGACGTACATTTGTGTAAATAGAGTAAAGAAGTGAGAAAGTTCCAGTCCCACTTCTCCAAATGATGTTGGCTAATGAACAAACTAGTATTCATTTTCTCTTATGTGGCTATTATCTATGAATTTTGAATGCATTTAAATCAATATCAAAATCCAACATACTGAATTCCATGTTTTAATTAAGTCACATCCCGTTCATTCCGCTGTATTATATTTTCTGATACAAGCAACAATTATCAAGTTTTTGTTCACAGATTTATATTAGCTAGAGAATAATTAAAAACCAGGGAGTGATGGACAGTTGTTTAGTCCTATTGGAGGTGGAGCTAGATTTCGCGAACTGACAGGAGCTAGAAGACATGCATCACTGAATTCCGTCTGATGGGTTGAACGGTCAACGAGTTTGCCTCGTAACTTGAAAGTCATGTGTCCGATTCCTGTCTTTCTAATTGGGGGTAAAGATGAAAATATGGCGACAGCCATCACTGTTAATTGGACGCAGATACCAGACTACCAAATTCGTCTAAAGCCAAAAATCTGATCCATATGAACCATTAGATTGGTGTTAACACGGCTTTTAAGGTCATCTATAAAAATGGTCTAGGGCATTTATTGAAATACTCAGAGGCTATGGCTGTTCATGAATTTAAGCCGCCCCTATGAGTGTTCAAAATCGATTTATAATTAGATGAAGGATTTCTTCATGACTTGACATTAGTTAGAAAATCATTGGTAAACCTGCAGAGAGTAGTGGGCAGCCCTTTCGTCAACCTAGTTTGGGACTCTTCGAGCCCAGGACCTTCTGATTACAAGGCCAGCTCGTAGGCCATTAAGCCACTGGAACCCTATCCAGTGGCCAACCCATGAATTCCAAATTCTGCCAATTCATGACATAGCGTGACCAATTCGCAATGTCTTCTTCGATGAATTACTGCTTATCCTTCAACCTGCTGTACCCTACTGGTCACGGCTTCCCAACAGAACCCCAGGTTAACTGCCTGAATGTGGCCAGTAGCTAGTGAGCCATTGGACTGGGTCCCAGCGGCTCAATGGTCTACGAGCTGGCCTTGTAATCAGAAGGTCCTGGGTTCGAAAACCGCCTGTGGGTGCGTATTGATGAAGGGTCCTAAACTAGGCTGACGAAACAGCTGTTCAGTACTCCCTGCAGGTTTTCCAATGGTTCTCTAACTGATGTCAGTTCATGATGAAATCCTCCATCCAATCAAACAAAATCCCTACAAAACCAATACTTGAAAATTCATTATTACTCTTAACCCACCTTAGTAATCTTTAATCTGATGGGATAATCAAACGTTGTGTTAATTATTCTTAAATCCTTTTTGTCAGTTTATGTACTTTAATTGGCCTTTATTTTTCACATAAATTCGCTTGATAAGTAAGTGTGTGTGCGATCAAAGTGTTCGAAATGTATCGCACAGATGCATCACATTTTTCAGATAATCTCCGTCTTCTAGTAACACTATCCAAAATTATAAAAGGCACTAACTGGTGTAAATTATATCCATCCACGTATTTTAGTCTGTTTGTAAATGTTCACGCACTTCAACAATATATTTTTATCTCTAGTCACATTTTCTCACTGTTTTTCTTATTAATACCAAACTGACTGAAAGGCGATGAGAGCTCCAGCGCCACCGTCAGCTAGTATTTGTTCTCACACCCGACTTGATGGAGTCCAATGACCACGACTCCAGGCAACTTTGTCCTGTAGCCAGTAGTCACTAGAGAGGATTTGATTAATTTTCAATAGTTAGTTTGTAGGGATTTGATACCTGCCGACGAAATTGGCTGGTGGTAGCACTAAAATTGCGAAGTGACGAAGGTTAGAATTCATGGACGGTTGGATTCCGTCCAAGTGGCTGAGTAGTATTCAAGTTTGCCTCGTAACATCAGGTTCCTGAGTTCGATCTCCAATGGAGTCAGGGTACATAGTGATGAAAATTTCCAAAACAGAACGAAACTGCTATCGAATACACTGTAGCGAAATTATACCACGAAGCTTTTGATTTGTAGTTAAATAATGTATACAATATCCACGAGTAAGGGAATGGTAAGAGAACACTAAGAACGCTGTCAAATCACTTCGTATTACTACCTTGTTAGATTGTAATCCCCAAGTATTTCTAAATCAATTTTGTTTGATTATAATAAAGGTTGTTTTTTGTATTTCTCAATGAATGAAAAACAAAACGATACTGTTACTTTTGCTGACGTTTCGCCATTTAATGCTGCTAATAGCTTTATCAAAGTAGTATTATTAAACCAGAATTTAAAAGATCTCATCTTATATATAACAACTTAATAATCGTTCCTCAGCATGCATAGATTCAAAGATAACATCTTTTCAAGCATATTCACGCCTAAAATATGGTTAAGATATGTTGATGATACTTTTGCAGTACTAAAACGAGATTTACACAGTTCATTCTTGGAGAAACTGAACAATCTATCGCCCACCATTCAGTTTACTTCGGAAGCAGAATCAGACGTCGTTGAACTACCATTTACATACTGCCTAGTTAAGAGGAGGGAAAACGGAAATTTTAGTATGTCTATATTCTGGAAGAAAACCCACTCCAACAAACACTTAGACTTCGGATAATCAAACCCCATCAGCGCAGAGATATCAGTTGTTTCAAGTCTTCTTAGATGAGCACATTCTCTGATGTTAACGGATGAGAAAGAAAAAGAAGAAGAAATATCAAGCATTACTGAGACTCTCAAGCAAAACAACTAACCAAAGGACTTCATCAACCAAATCAACACTGACATTAAGTATGGCCAAAAACGTATTCCAGAAACATGGACCTCAGCAGTTGTCATTCCATTTAGAGCAGAGACGTTAGACGATATCAGAAGAGTACTCAATAAGCTCGACATCAGAGTTTTCTTCGAAACATCACACACTACAAATCAACCTTGTCCATATAAAAGACCGAATCCCTAAAGATTCTCCATCTAATTGTGTCTACAAAATAAAATGCTTGGAATGTGATGCGATATACATCGGACAAACATCGCCAGAGAGAAATGAAATCAGAAGAAATGAACACCGTAGATATATCACCATTCGACCACCGAGAAATCGAATTGAACTAGAAAAGCTTGAAAAATCACCAGCCCTAGTTCTACACACTATAGAATCAGGCCACAAAATTGATTTTGACAATACTGAAATCATCATCCAGAAAAACTTCAGAAATCACAATGAACGTCTAACATCACCAGAAGCACTTCATTTCAAGTGGAATCCAAATTGTCTGGTGAACAGGAATGATGGAATAAAACAGAATTTGACCTGGTTACAACACCTCACTCCCCCATGAAATAACAAAATCAGCACGGATGTGATAAGCGATTTCATTTTGTAAACACACTCTACTTTTATAATTTCACACACTTATCAAATCCAACAATCTACACTTGGTTTTGTTATCTTTACCGATTGGCCAATTTGACAACGCAAAATGACCCCATACTGCGGAACGATGATTGAGTTGTTACCAATATAAGCTGAGACTTTGTAAATTCCGGTTTAATAATACTTTGTCAAGGCTATTAGTAGCATTAAATAGCGAAACGTCAGTAAAAACAACAGTATCGTTTTGTTTTATCATTCATTGGGAAATACAAGAAAACCTTTATTATAGTGAATATTATACCCAATGCCCAAATTTTTTCAAACTGTTAAAAGTGAATTTGGTTTGAACATATATATGTAAATTATGTTTGACTTTAAATGAATTCATTTTTAATATATTTCAGTTATAATAAATAAACTGCTTAATCCCTCTTATGTTTACTTTTTATTTTCAATTACAGAGGTGATAATCATGGGTAAGTTGAAATATTCTTTCAATGAAGTATATTCAACAATTCATTACAATTGGTTGAAGATGCCTATTAAAAATTTAAAAGACTAAGTTTTCTTTTCGATATATTCGTCATCAGGTTCTGCACTTATGTGACAATAATAATTAAAGAATTATTGGTTGGAAGGTTTCATCATGAGTTGACATCAGTTAGAAAACCATTGGAAACCAACCAGGGAGTACTGGACAGCTGTTTCGTCAGCCCAGCAGCAGCAGTACGCACCTACCGGCGGGGTTCGAACCCAGGACCTTCTGGTTACAAGACGAGCTCTTAGACCATTAAGCCACTGGGACCCTATCCAATGGCCAGCCCATGAATTCTGACCTCTACTAACTGATGACATAGCGTCACCACTTCGCAATGTCTTCTTCGATGAGTTACTGCCTCGCCTTCACCCTGCTGTACCCTACTGGTCACGGCTTCCCACTAGAACCCCAGGTTAACTGCCTGAATGGGGCCAGTCGCTAGTGAGCATCAGATTAATTTTCAGTACTTGAAAATAAAGAATTATTGTTATTAATAATATTAATGTCTTAAATTACACTTCAAAAGCATCAGCAAGAGAGAGACAATATGCATAAATATAACACTAAACTGACTGAATAAGAGATAAACCAAGGGAAGTCACATAGAATTTATAAATCTATAGGCTCCACAACAGGCGACTGAAGAAGAAATTAAGGTTTTATATGACAATTTAATCGAAAGCAGCTACCCTGAAAAGTTCAGCATAAAACATAAGGCCAATAAGTAGAAAAGGATTCTTCTATAACTGTTAACAAGAAGACTGTATGTATACGACTACAACTCAAAGGTGATATACATTCAAGTGAAATAATAAGCAACAAGTTGAGAAAATCGATCTGAAGAACGCTTCATGCCGGAAAGCTGTAGACTGCAATTACCACACAACCGGTTGTAATTCTGAAACTGAAAGATACAGAATCTGGGCTAGCCCCCTCTGATGGTATCTATCAGTTCGACTGCTCTTGTGGAGCCAGTTATATTTGCCGTTCCACATTGCGAACTTAGTTGTTCCAGCTCAGTATTAAAGGCAAAATAAACAGTTCTAATATGAAATCATCTCGTCCAAACACGCCACAAAGGTGGCATTGAACAGTCTTTCTCTATCATCTGTCGGGTATCGAATAAATTACCGGAAGCCTCTAGATACCGAACACTGCAAACATCATAGGCGATTGTAGTTCGCCTAAGTTAACTGAAGCTCTGCTCGCAAAAGATACAGGTTCAGCCACTACCGCTACCCTGGCCTGCTGTTGAGCCTATAAATCCATAAATTCTGTGTTACTTCTCTTTAATTTATCTGATATTCAGTTTATTGTTATAGTGGTGCATATTACCACTTACAGACGCTTTTGAAATGTAATCTTTGAATACTGCTGATTCAATGTAATTTAAACATTAATATTATTAATAAAAATATTTCTTCAATTATTACTAGACTCAGTCTTCTAAGTTCGTTATGAATTCTAAGCGTGTCAGCTTTAAGCTTGTAAATATTTTTCTTAATGATTTCCACGTCTACGTTACACTATCCCATTTAGAACTCTCACAAAAGCTTTCCTATGCTTAACTCACTTCAGTTTAACTAAAGACCACTGCTAGTCATTGTAAGCATTACCTTGTTGTTCATGTCATTGTGCTAGCAGCCCTTACACTATTCACGATACAGCTGATGTTAGATGACCAGAAGTTGTAGGCAGGAGGCCTTTGACTTAGGTATCGAGCTTGTTTGTTGGCACTCATCAGCAAGGTGGATCTGCAATCATTGAAGGGAGTGATATCCCTACTGAAATTCTAACTCCTTTCAATTTAAAGAAATTAATTTCAAATTATCAACTGAAGAATCGGCTTCATAACAGGCTTTCTTCTAATTGCCTACTTTCTGTACTCATTCTAATATCTCAGAGTAGGTAATAACAGAGAAGAGAGTGACGTCAGAGGGTGTGGCTAATGTCCATTAAATTCATTTTATAACAAACTAAGAGTTGAAAGTACAATCACTATTGTGTATTTATTGAATAGAAAATAAATTATTTTCTCTTTCATTCATTGAAAAATGCAAATTACTGATAAGGAAAAATGTCATTTACCTAATGCAGAATTCTTTTGCCTCAAATCGTTAAATGCAATCAGTGTTTTCAAACCACTTCATTGTATTCTATTCAAAACATGCTTTTTCCGCTGTTTATTGTGAAAAGACTACTTCGCCTTTCATATTTCTACTCTATACTGTACATTCTACCTCGTAGCATTTTCCTCACATATACATATACTACTTACATTACATCCAAGTAGTATCAAATTATATTTCAAAAATACGTTTGAAAAGTGTTCTAACTTGTAAACACAGTTATTTGTAACGCAAATACTTCCTTGGGCAAAAAAAAAGTAAGAAGATGTATTTGAAACAGCAGAACACAACAATATTTCATAACTCGAAATACAGATATAACCCGAAATACACCCACCACGTATTAAAACCACAATTTTTACTCGTATTATTCTTCCTTTGGCTTCCTTTCATGTTTCCTATGCTGCTTCACAAGAATCGTTCATCTCTCCTCTGAGCAATTAAATCCCTTACTCTGCTATTTAATATTCTTGCAGATGATACATATATATATGCTACTTAAAATGTAGCGTCATTAGCTCACACCACACTCTACTCACCGTCAAATAGTTTCGAGAGGAGCCTTTCTGACCTTCTTGGTTCTACCCACTCTTGTTGAGTCTTGTAATCGACTGGCTAATCCTACTGTATCCGTCTCCGAAGTTGGCTGGTGTTAACACATCTTTTTTATCTCCTCATTTGATAGAATAAACAGGACCACATCTCTCGGTGACAGTGTGTGACCATTCCCACTTCGGGAGCAGCTTCCGTGAACCTGGCCCACATCTAACCGCGTCCTTTCTTTCTCTACACTTTACTTGATCGCCTACCTCAAAGGTTCTGCATCGTATCTTCTCTTCCTGTTCTGATTTCATGGCGTCTTTCTTCTGTTTACGCTTCACATTCCTGACGATGTCTTTCCATTCAGTTCGTAGCCTCATGAGGGCCAGATTGTGTTGTGCATTGGTAGTCATGGTTTCCACCCATACATCAACTGAAATGGTGACTACCTTCTTGTTTCCTGGGTGGACGCGAGATGTGCTAGTAGAATCAATGGAAGCTCTATCTCCCAGTTACGTCCTTCAACCAGCCATTCCTTCAGTGTACGGTTATTTCTCTTTGTCACACCATTCGTCTGTGGATGATAAAGTGTTGTTCGGATTTTTTTAATCCTCAGCTGTTGCATATGGGAAGTAAATTCTTCACTTTCAAAACAAGGACCCTGATCTATTAGTACCGTCTCTGGTACACCGTGGTTTCCAACGATGTGTCGAACTACTGAACGAGTCACAGTTCCTACGTGTTGACCTGTCGAAATTTATAAAGAAAACTAATTGATTTAAAATTTCTTTATTCTGAATTTACTTGAATATGAGTATTCATCAACTTATATAACCAAAATTTCTGGATAATTGTCGTTTCACTAGTTTCGTATCTTTGACTCAGCTCCGGACTCCAACACTTATCTTGGGTTATTTACTTATTGTGATACCATCGGAAAAAATACTGGAAGTTTCTATCACATCACTAAAAGATATTTTCTGTTTCATTGCTCATAGTGAACTCTCACTGAAATTACTTATAATTTCTGCAATAGAAACGTTTTGGTCTATTTTTCTAGACTCTGAGTGCCCCTTTGTAGTCAATAACTTCCGTGGAATTCATGTTAACACAGTCATTTACACACAACCCAAATGTTGTGGGTGAAATTAGTAGCATAAAACCATATGTGTTTTTACAACATCTTGAAGCAAGACATCACTATTAACATTACATGAACAAAAGTGTACTTATCAGGACCTTTCAGTGCAAGAACTTACCATCCTCGTTAATTAATATTGTAGTGGTGGTGTGATACAGACAATGTGTGCCAACGGAATATTATTCTCACATATTCCCACAGTTCAATACGGTATTAGCAACAGAATACTACATATCTATTTGAATATTCTATTTCACATCGTTTAATGTAAACCAAAATCGCACACTCAGTGACTGGTTAAAGAAATTAAACTATATATATATATATATATATATATATATATACCTCGGTTTCCGTGTCTTGCCTTCTGTTGTTACAACATGACATGAATATTTTTTACTAAATTTATGTAAGTAGCAGTTAGCAGCCTTTCTTTATTGTGCCTAGAATGTCAGCTTATGAAATCAGATCAGAGGCTATGCTAATTTTTATGTCACAGTGAATCACCATCCAAAAATATGCTACTTTGGTCCATAGAATGTGAATTTTATAAAGGAACCATGGAAGTGGTGTACGATTTATTGCACTGCACATGCCATCAGAGAAGTAAAAAAACGCTGTCTACTTTCTATCAGCGATGATATTCCTAAATGTTGTGGAGTGGGAAGACAAGAAAAAACGTTAGACCGATGAGAAAACTCTAGAAGATTTGGACTTTGAGGACTACTCATGTCTAATATCATCTAAATTCGATGATCTACAAATGAAAACCAACAATTTGCTAGAAGAAGCAGGCAGGTGGCGAAAACAGGACTTCAAGTGAACTAAGAGGAGGTGAGGTGGTGAATATGCCCACCGTCCAACAACAATAGCAAGCACCGATCATTATTAACGGGCGAAATACGAAGGAATCACTCCTTCACTTACTGCTATGGCAGCATCGTTTCAGCTAGAGGCGGCACAGATGAAGATGTCAAAGCCAGCCAGGATCAGAAAGGCAACACGAAACTTCATCAGTCTGAGATCAGTGTGAAAATCCACTTCAGTAGGCATAAAGAGCAAGATTTGACTTTACAAGGCTAACATCAGGTCAGTCAGTTCTTCTATATGGTTAAGAGACTTGGCGTGTCACCAAAGGCATTTCAAACAGACTTCAGACTTTTATCAACAGCTGCCTTCACTAGATACATAAGATCAGATAGTCAGAAAGGATTAGCAACAAGGAACTCTCGAAACGAGCCAACCTAGAGCTTACTGCCCAAGAAGTATACCTAAGAAAACAGAAACAGATCGAGTACACATTGAGTAGAACATTGAGTGAGTCAGGCAGTCTGGAAAATGTGTGGGGAGGGAGTTAGGGCTTGTGGCCAATCTCGGAACCAGCTGGAAAGGACTGCATATAACAGGGTGAGATGGAGATTTGCCTCTGAAGCCTTATGTTCCACTTCAAAAACAAAGGGAATAATAATAGTAGCGCACTTTTAGTACTGAAATTAAACATTAGAAAGCTCAAGACTCAGGTTTTCTACTACCAGATCCAAAGAAGAGAACACCTGTGAATGTCGCGCAAATATTTTTTTATTACAGCTTGATTCCACACCGTATTTTTCGGTACAGTATGGAATTTTCAGCATGTGATATAGGCAGCCCAAATTTTGCAGGCTGACCATAGATATCAGGTGTACGTCGACAGGGTATCGTACCCCGGACCATGTGCATGATCGGCGAGAGTCTTAACCGCTGCGCCACCGACGCCTGACGTTCCTAGCATTAATAATCTTAGACTCAACCCAGAGATTTTGTAACGACATCGGTTAGACCATTTGAGTGGTACATTTTGATTGTTAGTTTTTGACTTGACAGTCAGATAGCTTACCACAACTGATTTTACAACCGAAAATAAACAAATTCAATTCATTGCTTAAAATTTTACTTGTAATTATTTATAGATATTTGTAAATAATAATTTAATTATCTTGATTATGATAAATAGAGAACATAATTTAATTATCTAATCATATGAATATCCTATTTTATATTATTTCAGACTGGCCTCATTACTTAAACCAGAAAAACTAAAGGCCATGGCAGAAAAAAATCTGGCAGGTGACACTCACAACATAGAAGCACAACATGCTGGTACTGATATAATCCAACCAGAAGAACAATCAAGTAATATAACCTCACCTAAGCGAAAATCAAGTAACTTCTCAGTACATTTTACTGGAGAACACTCTGACCAACAGGGATTAACTTCACAGGATAATACTCGTAACAAGCCTGATGTTTCACGTCGTCGATCAAATAAAGGTCCATTGCCTCCAGTTGATTAATACGTAATATGCTGGTCTGAAGGAGCAACACCTTTACATTGTCAACACATTTAATACTATTTCATCATGTGACCTCATCGCTTAACTCCAAATTTTATATTCAAAAAAAACCAACATTATGCACAAATTCGTAGATTAACATAATGCATTTCAGAGATATTTTCTATAAGGTCTAAGGGGATAATTCGAAACAATATTCAGTGTCTGACATTCAATTGTTGCTTTGTATAATTTCTGTTTCACTAATAAATTAGTAGTTTTACCGTTTACTACTTATAAATCTATTAAGTAATATCATGTAATTTTCGTTCCTTTTAAAACAAAAATCATTTTCAGAAGTTTTTGGGAAACTTTCATTGTATGTTTTCGAATTGACTAGCACATAATATTCTTTCTTTTTGTTAATATACAAAACATTCCATTTCTTAAACTGTTAGTTTCAATTTCCAAACCAATGAAATGAAAACGCCAACTTTTAACGCTTTTAAATGATAAGCAAAATGTTGTAGTACATTTTTGACCGCATATCATTTCATAGTTTGTGGAATATTTAATGAATGTCAGGAATATCAAGAATTTGTATTTAGTCCAAATTTGATTTGAGCGCATTCACACTCGCTGTTTCAAATATGCCAAAATGAATTAATATTCATAGTGTAAACAAATGCCAACTCTATGAATTACAATTTTATTTGTACCGCAAAAATCTAGCATCGAATTCAAACAAATTTGAAATATCTCCTAATATTACAAATAACCTTTAAAATAATGTTTTATAAATTTATTCAATTATTGTGAAACTCATAAAACAAAAAGTATCAATGTTTCAGTTCAGCTTTAAACGTTCATGACTTTCAATATATATAAAAATGGTTCGTTGAGATATTGTTCATTGAAAAATACTTCTTCGAGTTTGACCAGGGATTGAAATCAGTTAGAGAACCATTGAAAACCAGAGAGTACTAAAATCACGAATTAGCAGAAGTTATGGTATACGAAATTGCCTTGTAACCGGAAGGTTCTGGGTTCGAACCCTGGCAGTGGGTGAATACTGCCAATGATTCCCAAACTAGGATGAAACAGCTGGCTATCTAGTAGTCACTGGTTTTCAGTGGTTCTCGAAATGATATCACTCCGTTGAAATCTAATCCTTACAATCAACTCTTGAAAAATATTTCCTGAAAGACTCTGTTAGTACTACATTATTGGTTTTGAATACATTTGCGCATGGCTGCTTATTTGAATCGATTCGGCTCTCTGAGCTGAGTCAGATTGGGTATGCAGATGATGAGCCCGGAACCGAAAGGTCGAAACGGCCGTCCGGTGTATATCAGTAGATAATTTCCAAAAATTATTAGCCCACAGCATTCATCATTGGACACTGGATGTCGACCTTCACTGTTTAAGCCGACTTGTTTACTTGAAGGCTGGCCGTCAAGCATCCACACCATTTGGCACGCTGTCTTGTTCCGTTCGGCTGTTCGTGCACCATCCCTAGATAGTTAAGTAGTGATCTTTTTACTACGACTCTCATCCTAAAATATCCTTCGTATTTTGGATGATCATTTTGGTGTTTTGTTTTGTCTTTGATCTACGCAGAACAAATACTATAGGAGTTATGGGTATAAGATTTTGCGTTAGTATACGCCGTACTATGCGTGAACGTCAACACACTCTTAGCCTTTAAAGGTATTTAGATTACTTCTGTCTGGCTTCCTAGCAAGCGTTAATGGTTGATGTGTGTTTTATACATACAACTGCTCGTTGTTTCGATCAATCAGTAATGTCTGGCAACATCCATTTATGTTTACTTTCTTAATTGCTGTTTGTGGTATCAAGCAGGTCACCTTTTATGATTAGTTTATAAAAGAAACCTCGAACTGTATGATTTGTAAGGTGCAAATTAATTACAAAATTGAGATTTTAATTCAACCTTATAGTCCCAGATTTTGTTAAGCACGATGATGAAATGATATCAGTGATTAATAATTGTTTTCTCATATATGGCTGGGTAGAATTACCAACCCTCAAATTCTAATTAGAACTTTGAGAAATTCAATGAGAGGTTGGTTTATATTGAATCTCATCACCTTCACCTCTTGGTTCGTGGTGCTTATGATTTGTTATATCTTCAATTATTTTGCTATATGCACGGTTTCTGTGCGCTGAGACCAAATTCTGTCAACAAGGGGTAACTGATTCACGTCCATAGTTACTAGCAGTTGTACTTGTTCTACTATGGGATCGAACATGAGCATTACCTCACATATGTCGACTCCAGAAGTGAGTAATCCTTTAAGACGCTAAACAGAAACGACCTCTCGTACCGTCAACGTTTTGATGAACTGCTCCTCTTATTATCACTTACATACAGGAATCCACACTGGTGTCGGTATCATAATACCTAAGGTCAACAAGCAAACGGTTGTCGAAAACCCTATGTTTAGTCTAAATTCAACAGCCAGTTTAAAGACAAACTCACAGGATGGCCTGATTTCAGTCAATACAATGGCTTGTAGTTGACACTTTCATTAGTTATGTCATTTGAATGGTATAGTGGGAAGTCGTCACCAGTAGGGTGCAGCAGGTCGTGTGTGAGGACAAATACTCGCCGAAGACATTGGCTAGTGGTTGCGCTATGTCGTGAATTGGCAGAAGTTAAAATTCATGGGCCATTGGACCGTGTCCCAGTGGCTTATTGCTAAACGAGCTCGCATGCTTTGTAACCAGAAGGTCCTCGGTTCGAAACCCTGTGGTGTGTGCGTACTGATGAGGAGTCCCAAACTAGGACGAAACGGCTGGTCAGTACTCCCAGGTTGGTTTCCAATGGCTCTCTGACTGATGTCAGCTCATGATGAAATCCTGTAACCAATCAACCGAAACCCTACAAACCAATACTTGAATAAATGGAATAGAGTTCGGTGCTCATAAATGATGTATTATTGGAGACAGATTCTAGAGATTGCTGCCGATTGCCTCCAACTATCTAATATCATCAAATCAATGTGCACCATGATGGCAAGCTATCTAGAATGGTGGTCACATTGCAAACCTGACTGATAGAATTCAGTCTGTACCAAAGAAAAGACTAGACACGTCACACACACACAATATTTCATTATATGTATTTAGGCATTGTACATTTTTTCGATAACAGCTTAATGATGAGTAATGTGATAACATCTCATATTAAAGATTGTCTAGAGAGAAGCTGAAGGAGATTCACATAGCAGAGGATGCGAGATGACTATTTTCATGTGATAAGCCATATGCACCAATACTCCAGATAATTGTAGTGGAGTTCTGCAAACAGTCAGGAACGCCGTTCACACTTTTTCAAAGTACCACACATAGAAATACATTATCGGTTGAAGAAACCATGTTTAGTAGTTATGTCTGAACTGACTACCATAATCTTGAAGTTTCAAGGTGAAAATATACAGGCAGCGATTGGATAACCAACATCTTCTATGGGAGCAGATATTACTTACAGATGCTTGGGAACGTAAGATTATTTTCTTAATGCATTATGTGATGTGCAGACTAAACATTTAGTGTGTTGCAATCTAAACACCTGCATAGTTTCTACTGGTAGATGAACTCGGTAATAAGTGAAGTTAGACAGTAGGACAAGCCGAGATATCCAAACTACCACGGAAGCAGTAACTGCTATCATATTTTGACCGGTATTAAGACTTCAAAATTATCTCATTCAATATCACTAAAAGTAACATTGCTTGAATATCTAAGTAATCCTGACAGCAGTCGTCTGATCGGTAAGTAATCCAAGAAAGTGCAATACAGAAATCCAAGAGATCAGTAAAATATCAATACCAAACAGCTAATCACTGAAATTCATTCAGAAACTTATAAATAATACCAACAACTTTAACTTACAAGTATCGGTTTTGTAAGGATTTTTATTTGATCGCATGGAGGATTTCATTATGAGCTGACATCAGTTAGAACCACCGGAAAAACTGCGAGCATTGGATAGATGTTTCGTCCTAGTTTGGACTCTTCAGATGTACTCATCCACTGGGGTTTATTATGCAAATATAAAACCTGATGAGATTTTACTGAAAATACGCATTTGCTTATGTCGTGTTTTATGTCTATATAATCAGACCAGGAGCCTAACTAGTGATGAATCAGAAGTTTTAAATCACGAATTGGTAGAAGTTAGAATTCATGGGTTGACCATTGAATCAGGTCCCAGTGACTGAATGGTATACGAGCTTGCCTTGTAACCGGAAGGTCCTGGGTTCGAACCCGGTGGGTGTGTGCCGATGAAGAGTCCCAAACTTAAACTTAGTTGTGTTCTCTGATTCTATATTTATTTTTAAATATCACATAGTACTTCAGTTTTAATATCTTGATGACAAAGTTTCGAGCAAAAATTATTGCTGTTCATAATCACATCAAGTTTAGTCATACGGTTTCAAAATTTCTCTCATATACATCTATATATTCTCTTTCTCTCTATTCCTTTTCCCCTTATTGTTTGTTGCCACTTTCTATATCTCCGGTATAGGCGTTTCGTCATTCCAGTTGCACCTGTGCGGTGCTGAATCGATAAACTGAGATTCACTGATTAACTTCTCTGTCTCTCCATCTAACTATATTACTTTTTAATACATTCACTCTGTCCCACCCCACCTACTTTGTGATTACATGCAAGTGAATGCAATGCAATGGCTGAACTCTGTTTTTTCTAGACTATTTAACTAACCAGGCGTCAATCATTCTAGGCGTAGCTAAAATTTTTCTGTTTCAATAATCTAATTGACCCCGACTCAATAGTTTAACCTATGTAATTAACTCCACTCAAAGTCAACTCTCTGAGAGAGTTGATTGGTTTAAATGCCCCGCACCCTCCCCCCGACTAATTCCAGCCTCATTGAGAATTCTACTTAAAGCCTCTGATGTTCCTCCTTTATACGGCAGTGCTACAAAGGCTTTGAATTTTATTTAATTTCTTTCTTTGTTATTTTCATTACTAATCTTATTTTGTTTTCTATGGTTCCTCATAGGTTTATGAATAAATTCTGGTGGGTAGTTAGTTATTCACTAGTAACATTTTCTTTATTTGTTTGATTTCATTATTTAAAACTCCTATAGTTTGGTTTGTAAGGGTTAGTGATGTTTTTACGAGTTGATCACGGATTCATATCAGTTAGAGAACCATTGAAAACCAACCAGGGAGTACTGGATAGCAAGCTGTTTCATCCTAGTGCTTGGGACTCTTCAGCAGTACGCACCCACCGCCAAGGTTCGAACCCAGGACCTTCCGGTTACAAAGCGAGCTCGTATACCATTCAGCCACTAGGACCCGATTCAGTGGCTCGTGAATTCTAACTTCTACGAATTTGTGATTTAAAATTTCTGATACATCACTAGTTAGGCTCCTGGTCTGATTTTATAGACATAAAACACGACATAAGCAAATGCGTATTTTCAGTAAAATCTCATCAGGTTTTATATTTGCATAATAAACCCCAGTGGATGAGTACATCTGAAGAGTCCGAACTAGAACGAAACAGCTGTCCATTACTCCCAGTGGTTCTCTAACTAATGTTAGCTTATGATGAAATCCCCTATCAAATCAATCAAATCCCTACAAACCAATACTTGAACATAATGAAATATTAGTCATAGGCATTTGAATGATGAATGTGGTTAATAGACTATCAGGGATCAGAGTTCAGGGATGTGAGTTAATGGATAACAATCGAGTTGATCATCATCATCATCATAATAATAATAATGACAAGGATAAATTCATTCATGTTCACATAATCTAGGCAAAGGTGAGTGTATATGTAGAATGTGCATACTATCTAGTAGGGGTAGAGGGGGAAATAACAATTGTCACATAGCAATTAGATAATATAATAATAATAAATTGTGAAACAGAGATTAAAGTGTATAACTGTAGCACAGCATGACATTGATTATATATATATATATATATATATATATATATATATATATATATATTGATAAAAATATCATAAGATAATATTTACAATTATCCGGTTTCACCGGGAGAGATAACTATTCTAGGTTTGAGGCGAAGGCCAAGGAAGGGAGAGAGACTGAACAATTTTTTTCTGTACACAGAGATTGGGTTGAAAAATCATTATGGCAACTGCCTCAGCTAGACTTAGCAACCAAAGACGTACCAACCTCGTATATAATTGTAAAATTCGAATTTTTGTCATTCTTGTACTCCGTATCCAACTAGGTATGCCAGTATGGGACTTCTGATCGACTTTACGACTCCTCCACGTAGCTACGTTGGACAATGCTGCAGAAGGCCACAGTAGGCTCACCGAGTCGTTCTACCTATCTATGCAACTGTCTCCACATGAATAGCTAAATTTATAAATACACATTGAAGTGGCCAGGCTCGGTAGCTTATCCTTCACCTGTGTTAGAATGATACAAAGAGTGGTGAATTTTAAACAACTTATTGTGACAAAGAATGTTTTAGCTATTATTTTTTGGAGGTTAAATACCAGCAGTTCAGTAGTAACGTCTCCTCTGAATGCTAAAGTCATGCATATACGTTTCTGCTACACCGTTTGCAGGCATTTCTTTCTACGTGTGTGTGTTCTCCTCAATGAGACAAGAGCATATCATAGTGTTTGTAGCTTAGTTTCTTATATATCTGCAGCAGTAATTTGTACAACCTTTAGCATGAAATTCATGTACAAACCTGTAAAAGCTCCACAGAAATATATGCAGTCACAATAAGCTAATTATAATTAGGTCAAACAGATACGTAATACAAAAAGTACAAATCTAATATTGAAGTTAGATGGTAACCACAATTTTAGATAGATATGAAATCAGTGAGTTTTATTTTACAGGAAGATTGTTATTCTTAACCTTATACATCTCCAAAGCTTATTTGGTAAATCAAGAAAGCTGGTAACTGTGAATGTTTTATTTTCCGTTGCTATCAAACTCCACTGAAATGAGGCGAAACTCCTGGTTCTTCTCGGATTAATGTCTTCAATAATAGAATTATTCATTTTGAATAATAAATGACCAGAAATCCGATGACGAAATTTCTAACTGTACACTACACACTTTGAGTAATCTCACATCTGCTCTTTTAAATAATCGTACCCGTGAATTTCAGTTTCTAGAAGACAGCTTCCACGTATTCTTGAAATTTAGCTTGGACAGAAACGATCAGCAGAAATACTGAGAAACTGCCTGTTCCGCTCACTGAAGGAAATCTTTCTCGTGACTGAATTACAACCAACTTCCTCTAAGAAACCAGTGATTCGCATGAATTTCATGAAGGATAAGTTGTCAGTGTCGGCCTGATCAGTATGCATCTACTAAATCCACCAACTCGTGTGGAGCTGGTTATGTTGGCCGTACCCAAAATTTGTTATTCAAACGTATCATCGAACACTTATTCACAGTCATGGTTTTATAAAGGAGAAAAAAGACCCACCACTACCACCACCAAAAATCTATCCTGGAACACTTGATTGAATCTGGACGCCAGGCTAACCCACCCACAAAGGAACTTCAGAGTTATCTACGGAATACGTGGGAATCTTCCTAATAGGGGTAGAAATCAAACTTCTTCAAACTGTAGGAGCAAATGGCAATTTATCACTAAACTCTGCATACATAAGAGAAGTATTTTTTGTTTTGTTTCTTAACTGCATTATTTTCCTGCCTCACCCCTTCCTATTAAATTTCTACCCCTTATTACCATTCGTATTGGTTTGCAGGCATTTGATTTGATTGGTTACAGGATTTCATCATGAGCTGACATCGGTTAGAGAACCATTGGAAAACCAGCTGGGAGTACTGGACAACTGCTTCGTCCTAGTTTGGGACTCTTATTTATCAGTTTGGATATGCTACTGCCCACTATCGATAGTTTACATATTTGCGAAAGATACATAGATGATACTTTCATCAGATGTGGCGAGAATACTAACGTCGAAATTGATTTTGATTCGATTTTTTGATTACAGCTTGATTCCACACCGTATTTTTCGGTACAGGTATGGAATTTTCAGCATGTGATATCGGTAGCACAAATTTTGCAGGCCGACCATAGATATCAGGTGTGCGTCGGCAGGGGATCGAACCCCGGACCATGTGCATGGTCGGCAAGAGTCCTAACTACTGTGCTACCGACGCAACTGTCTCCAGCCTTCATTGGTTTTTATTATCTCGAGGACTCCAAACAACCAGTCAGTCTGCACCTCCCTACGTAGGTGGCTGACACTAACTGTTGTCGATTTCATTGACTGATGAAGCCATGTTTTCGTTAGACCACCATTAGCTCTCTTCTAACCTAATCCATCGTATGTCAGTGGCTAAAATTCCCCGTCGAGGGAGGCGATGGCCAGGCGCGCATGTGTAACACATGTCCTAACCACCTCAATCGGTGTAACGTGACAACCTTTTCGATTGATTTCCCCTCTTTATCTAGCATTGAAGTCAGTTAGAGTTAAGTCCATTAGCAAATCGCCGATGGAATTTAACAGAAACGGGGACAGTGGGCATCCATGATGGACACCACTGCTTATCACCACAGTTGTCAAATGAAAACTCTCAGTAGGCTCTCACTTGGTTGACTGCATCAGTTCGAGTAGATTATCTTCATCAGTGCAATGTATTTTCTCAGCATCTCCTTCATAGCCAAAAATCACCATAGTAACCCTCGGTTGACGGAATTGAATGCCACCTTCAGGTCAAGGAATATAACGATTGTTGGACGCCGACGGTAAGTATGCCTATGTTCGGTTCCAGAATCTGTCGAAGGATGGGTGAAGATACGATCAATACACCCTCTTTCTGGCTTAAAGCCTGCTTGGTTCTCTCATGTTTGTTCCTCCCGAGCACCGTTTAGTCGACGCATTATTATTGAGCCTAGAACTTTAGATACTATATTAGTCAAGCTAATACCCCTATGATTATCATAGGAAGGCTTGTCTTCTTTCTTGTATATCGGGATAATCAATGACTTACTCCAATCCGACGTGACTTCCTCTTATTTCCAGACACTGTCTAGTACCTCAGTTAACGCAGACAGTAAACTGTCTCCACCGTACTTATTCAAGATATGAAAGTTAAATCCAAGGGGAAGCGCTTCCATTTCAATGCAATTTAACTTCAAACTCGACAGATCACAGATAAACCCCTCAGGATTTTCTGGGTAGACGCCATACAATTTCTTCTTTGCCAATGACTTCGACAGAGTTTTATAAAAATTTGCACATATTTTCCGTTGTATGTCTTGAATGAAATTGATGAATTTAATCCGGTATAATTTATTCAAACTATTGACAACATCATCGTAGGACTGAACTTCGGTTCTCAATCCTGCTTTCGCTTGAACTAATCTGTTTACACCGTATTGTAGTTGTAAACACATTCGACGGACATTTAATTCTGACGTGTTGATTAGAGGACAGTCACACACTCTACACATGACTCAGAGATTCTACTTTTAAGGAGACAGATACCCTATACACTCACTGTGACATATAAGAATCTCAGGTAGAGCTCTCTGTGTAATACAGCACTTCACGTCTTATTCGTGATGCAGTCTACAACGAAATATATATATATATATATATATACATAGGGAGTACTCATCGTTCGCTGTAGATTCGGGCAACAGTATATATTCCAAAGTGGCTGCAACAACAAATAAAATCACTGGATACAACTGATCCTAGAAATAGATGCCTAACATCATCTGTAGCGAAGCACATTGTAAAGACGAGTCGCAGGGTTGCTTTAAATAATGCTTAAACCTGTTTTACGTGTCCCAAAAAAATTATTTGTTATTACTCTGAACCTGCCTCGGTAATCCAATATGGAATCAATGTCCAATTTACTTAATGATACTTTCAACCTTTGTGTGTGACTTTCACCAGTATTGTAAAAATTCATATTCTCTTGCCTTCTATATAAATGTGCATGACAAGTGCTCGTGTATGTGTGTTCAGAATGTCTGAAATGTGTTGTGCAAATACATTACATGTTTCAGACGGACTAAGTCTTTTGAGTGTTCCGTCCAACAACAGTTCACTAGACAGTATAAATCGGAATTTCTTCCTAGCACACGCAAGTCAATTCTTCAACATGGGTCAGAGACTTGGCGCTCCTAGCGTCGAAACCAATTTTTAACAGCCAGCTACAGAATTTTATCAACAGCTGCCCACTTCCCTGGCCCCATACTGAAGACCGAACAGCCGGTTAGAAACAGTTAGCAACAAGAAACCATGGGAACAATCCGACAAGCCAGAGCCGATTGCTCAACAAATATTCCGAAGAAAATGGAGATGGATTGGGCACACACCACTGAGTTGACCGTTGAATGATATCGCGCCCAATGCTGCAGGCCATCACTCGAGTGGAATCCAAAAAGGGAAACGCTGAGTTGGGCGTACTTGGTCCGAGGGTGACACGCAGGCGATGAGAGATAATGGGCAATCATAGAGCTAGCCAGGTGAAGACGACAGAAGAAAATAGGACAAAGTGGGTACGTGCTGTTGAAGCCCTATGTTCCACTTGGAACCCAAGGGAGGAATAATAGTATTAATACATAGAATCCTTCCATCCAAAATATCTCGAAACAAATCTAATTTAACATAAAATATATATTTCAAAAAAATAGTAAACTGCATAGAATTTCCACAAAATAAAAGCATAAACGAAGATATCCAATCGAATCCAATCCAATAACACAAGTAGAAAAAAACAACAGCTGTAAAGTGACTTCCAACAGATAAATAGACCATTTTCTTCAACAACAAAAAATCAACTGTAACCATCATTATTTTACAACGTTTGTCCGTGTATATCCAATTCCTTCACACGATATGATCGCCGATCCATTTCCCAATTCCTGAATTTCGAATTTCACCTTTATATAAATGGAAAGTAGAAAGAAGTATTTTTAAGTGGAAACCAACAGAAGATAGTAGAAACAAAAAACAGAAAAAGGAAGAACAACAGTAAAGGAACACACACACACACACACAACCTGGTAATCTATTCACAAAAAGCTGCACCCAGAAAGCGGAGGATGATGTTTCAGTTTAAACGACAAACACGCTTTTTTATACAGTGACATAATATGAAACAATCTGATTCACATACAAGACAGAAAATTTCTTTTCCAGTACAGCAAAAGCTGAAAGGTTTTAGGGCTGACTAATTTAAACATAGAACTTTGCACAGATGTGCAGATGTCCCAGTTGCCACCCCCAATGTCCCTGTAGCACACATGGCAAAAGAAGAGAGCCAATAAAAAATGCCACTGATAGCGACTTTGAGCCAGCCATATCACCACCAATTACCTCCAGCCCTCATTGGTTCATACCATCTCGAGGATCCCAACCAGCCAGTCAGGAAGTCAGCCTATACCTCTCCATGTCGCTGGCTGTCTGGTTTAAACTAACTGTTGTTGATTTGATCGATTGATGAAGCCATCGTCTGGTTTGACAACCACAGCGTGCTAGCTCTTTTCCAACCTGATCCACCCTATGTCAGCTGGGCTAAGATTGGCCGTCACTCGAGGAAGGCGATCGGTGAGTGGGGATGCATGAGTAACACATATCCTAACCATGTCAGTCAATGAATATGGATTCACAACCTCGTTGATTGGTTTTCCCTCCTTCTCATTGTCTAGCACTCGACTGACGCCTTATCTCAATGTTACTCACCACCCTATTATGCCACCTAATCTAATACGGCAGATAGAATGCAGACACCTATGATCAAAGACGGCCAGCTAGCCGGCCTTTTCATTTCTTCCACTTCTAATGACCATGTCCCACTTTCAACCAGCCATAGAGGGAGATATAGAGAACTGTTACTGAGCAGCACACACGTTCTTTGCTCGACAGTCAGTTGGATACCACGTTTACTAAGTCAGAGATGGGTTGGGTGGTTGGCAAATACTAAACGAGCCTCCTGTATCCGGGTTGAGCTTTTGCCACCAAACCACTGAGGCTGATTTCAAAAGCCAATAAGTCACATCTCTACATAAACAGTAACTGACTCTTAGTTTCAAGTTACCTTGTTAAATACATATTTTCACCCGAAGAGTAATTTTCTCTACTAAGTGCGACCGGGAAGATTTGATCAGGAAGTTGTGCATCTGTGTATGATCAGCGAATATGATAAAACTAAGTTATTATCACGCTACATAGAGATTGAGGTTAGGCGTTAAGTGCTAGAAAACGAGAAGAAAAAATTAATCAATGAGGTTGTGAATCTACACCGACTAAGTAACATGGTTAGGACATGTGTTACTCATGCATCCCCACTCATCGATTGCCTTCTTCGACTGACAGTCAATGTTAGCCTAGATGACATAGGGTGGCAGAGGTTGGAAAAGAGCTAAGATGTGGTGGTGGTCAAACCAAAAACTGGCTTCATAAATCGGTCAAATCGACAACAGTTAGTTTAAGCCAGCCAACGGCCACATGAGGAGGTATAGACTGGCTGATTGGAGTCCCCAGGATAGTAAGAACCATTGAAGGCTGGAGATAATTGGTGGTGATATGGTTGGGTCAAAGTCATTCTCAACGGCGCTGTTTATTACGTCTCTTCATTCTCTTCTCTTCTTTTGTGTGGTACATAGACATGGAGAGTGGCAACTCAAACTGCTGCATATATATATATATCTGTTTTCAACATAGAATTTTGCACCGATGTGCAGCAGTTCAAGTCGCCACAAAGCAAGACCAGAAAGTAAAAAGAAACGCAAAATGGAGACAGTAAACAGAGATATGAGGCAAAAAGAATAGTAATAACGAAGAACAATATAGTTTTATTGGGTATTATATAAGTCACAAGGAATGGATACATCTGCGCCATTCAGGTCGATTTTGAGCCATATCCCCGATTGTTTCTAGCCATTGGTTTTTACCGTCCCGAGGACTCCAACCAGTCAAGAAGTCTACACCTCCCTATTTGGCTGGCTTAAACTAACTGTTGTGGATTTCATTGACTGATGAAGCCATGTTTTGGTTAGACAGCCGCTAGCTCTTTTCCAGCCTGAGCTTATGTCGGCTAACATTGCCCGTCGAGGAAGGCGATGACTAGGCATAAGTAATATATATATATATATATATATATATATACTGTGATGGATATTCAAATCAAACAACTTACACCAAGCATAAGTTCAGCAACATAAATCACAGTTTTAGTATGCATTGTCAATGGTCCAGTCCGTATTTGTGACTTCCCCTTAGCCAATGCCATTGGAATGATGAGCTGAAAGCCAAAAGGGTGAAGTAAATGTTAGCGTAAACTAAAATGTGAGGTGTTATACAAAAGCCTTTAAAGGCCTGGAATATACACTGACACTATCATCTCACAACCATTTGGGTAATGCCTTTACTCTACAAAGGGAATAGAAGAATGGTGACAGAATATATCAAAATACAATGAAGGGTAAACAAAAAAATAATGAACTTTTCAGAAAATTAAAACAATTAGTCCCTTTGATAAATTTGAATAAGGCATTTAGAAGACAAATTTCGCGAGATGACATCGTCATTTCGTAGTTTCTTTACAACCGCTTTACAACTAACATGGTTAACAATAATAAAATAAAGATCATGACAATTACTCAGTCCAATAAAAAAACAAAAGTACATACTAATGACCAATCATATAGGTCAAGTAGTCCATGGTAGTTGAAAGTTGAAGTCTACTGTTTTTTGTACACACAGTTTAGGCTGTCTGTGGTTAATCCACAGTGCTTCCATCACCTTCAATAACCTTGAGTCAGAGTCATGTGAAATAATTGTGAAGTAGTCATTAATATTGATTTTGTGACCTGACATTAATAAGTGCTTTGAAATGGATGATGCTGGATTTCTATTCAGATTAATCGCATTGGGAATTTTCTATATGATTTAGTAACCATTTTGAAACATGTTCTCTTCGACGACATTGGAGCATTCTATAGGTTCTACTTATATAGGTGTCACCGCAGCTGCAGGTGAACTTGTAGATACAGTTTGAAGTAGAGTTCACAGAATTTGGTCCTTGAATCGTAGGTACAGGGATCGAAAATGTTCTGCAAGTGAGAAAAAGAGATGCGTTTGATGGCTGACCGAAGTCTTTGAGCTGTCAACTACATAATCTGATCATCTTTGAATGGTAGGTTAATAAAGATAGCTTTCTTTGGTACAGAAGCTGTCTATTCTAGATGTGGTGTTTCTTTACTGTGACAAGTGATAAAGTTTTCTGGATAACTATTAGCTAATAAAAGTGAATGTATATGTCAAAACTCCTCCATCAATGTGTCACTCGTGCATATTTTTCAGGCCCTTGAGAACAAACATTTCACTAGGGAACGTTTATACTGGATAGGAACAAAACTGGTGAAATGTCTGTTTACGAAAAATAGATCGCTGAACAGTTGCATCATCTCTCCTGGTCATAGTAATATCCAGGAAACCGAGTTTGTTATTCGATCCGAGTTGGGAAGTCACTCAGTGCGTCGGTGGCACAGTGGTTAGGACTCTTGCCGACCATACACATGGTCCGGGGTTCAACCCCCTGCCGACGCACACCCGATGTCAATGATCGGCCTGCAAAATTTGGGCTACCGATATCGCATGCTGAGAATTCTACCATTGTCTGTTACTTGTAATAGAGGTCCTTCTCACGACTCATTTACCACTAACAGAATATAAATTACCTTAGTCTTCTTTGGGCTACTTAATCAAAAAGGACTATGTCATATTGAGGAGAAACGTGAGAAATGATATATTCATTCACACAGTAACTTCATCACATAATAAATCACACGATATGTGAGAAATGGATGACATAATATTTTATGCCGGGTCCTACCAGCATCCTAATCAAAACTTATTCAATTATCCGTCTTACTTTACAACTATAAAACACTTATTGAACTTCTTGTATGCATTGACAACTCATCACTACTACCATCTTACCAATCACCAACCCACCCACCCCCAACCTAGTTACAATTTGATTATTCATCACATTTTTTTAGAAATATTCTGATGACGTAAACAATAACCCTAACTAATTTTTATTCTTGTCTGACAAACCTAATGTACACACACACACACAAATAACTAATTATCTCGTAGCTCCTTTTCAAGGAAGAGGAAGTAGTTCGGATCGCTGACATACGATTCTCACTTTTTCTTCAATAGGCATGCTAGTAAACAGCGAACACACAAAATTGCGATTGTACAGCTAGGTGAATAAATTAACCACCGAAAAGAGACTCTTCCCTGAGAACTACGTGTCTTTTGTTTTCATCATTATTGTCTGTCTGAATGGGGATTATTCATGTGATGAATTGAAAAGATAAGAAATAAAACAGACAAGGCAACTAACCTGATCCTGAATATGCTCATCACAACACGCTCCAATCTCCACGTATTTATACAATGATTCGAAAGCTTCAGATACCAACTGCTTGTGAGATGGACCTCGAGGAGCACTGATTCCAGAGACAGCCAAAATACAATCCGTTGAAGTATGCAACATATACCTAGAGTAAATTAATTAACATATTCAAAAGTTGTTTTTTTTTTAGGGATTTGATTTGTTTTTCAAGTTTTTACACGGATTGATATCAGTTAGAGAACCATTGAAAACCACCAGGGAGTACTGGGAAGCTGTTTCGCAGTGGTTTGAGAATTATCGGCAGTGCGCACCCACAGCCAGGGTTCCGAACCAAGACCTTCCAGTTACACGGCAAGCTCGTACGCACTTCAGTCACCGGAACCCGACTCAACGGTTAGCCCATGAATTCTAACTTCTACCAGTTCGTGATTTTAACGCGATTTGCACCAGCCAATGTTATCGGTAAGTATTCTCCCTCACTCCCAACAGGATGGATCCCACTACTGGTCATGACTTCTCACTAGAACTTCAAGAAACTCCGTCCTGTAGTCAGTGACTAGTCAGTATCGGATAAATGACACCTATCTCAAATATTTATATATTTATGGAGAAAATTCTTTAGAATCAAAATATATAACACGACGTTTCACATTCATTTTATGCCTACAAGTGAAAAGATATTCTTAAAATTCGATGCAGATACAAAGATGCAATTAACAATGAAATCTAGTTGCGATTCGAATTCCTTTTCACCATCCTGAATGCTAACAACATAGTAACAATAAACTAAATCTTACGAAATGACATTTTATTATTAAGAACCATGAAATACCAACCCAAAAACAAAAACAAGCGAATCCAGCATGAGTACTCTATAGCATAGTAATAGTATACTAACCTCTAAATATCGAAGTGAAAAAGGGCTGTTTAAACAACTTAATCCTGAAGTTATTTTTATTATTATTGTTGTTGTCCCCTCGAGTTCCAAGTGGAACACAGGGGGCTTCAACAGGACATATCCACTCTGTCTTATTCCATGCGGTTCTCTTTGGCTGCTTGGCTCCACAATTAACCATTTGGGTCCGATCGCCTCCATGTCACCCTCGCATCAGCTAAACTCAATTCGTCGTTTCCCATCCAGATTCCACTCGGGTGATGGCCTGCAGCATTGCGCGCGAGGTCATTCGACGGTCAACTCAGTGGTGTGTGCCCAATCTATCTCCGTTTCCTTCGGAATATTCGTTGGGCGGTAGATTCTTGGTCAGTTTGTTCCCTTAGTTTCTTGTTGCTAATTCTTTCTAACCGGCCAACTTAGCCTCAATATGGAGTCAGAGAAGTGATAAGAGCCTACAGTAGCTTGTTGGAAATGCTATTGGTGACGGGTGCACCAAGTTTCTGACTCATATAGAAAAATTGACTGACTTGACATTTGTGTTGAAAATTCGAATCTTGTTGGTTATGCTGTTTGAGGGCAGATTTCCAAACTGATTTCAGAGTGATGAAGGTGTACCTTGCCTTTTCGATTCTGGCTTTGGTGTCTTCCTCCGGCCTGGCTGTAGTTGAAACGATGCTCAATAGATAGATAATTGAAGAAAATAACCTCCCTTAGATTTCTATCGTCGATAGTGATTGGTGCTGATTGTTGTTGTTGTTGATTGGTTGATTATCTTTATCACCTCTGTCTTTCCGATCTTCACTTGAAGTCCTGTCTTTGCTACCTGCTCTTTCTGTCATCCTGTTGGTTTCCACCTGTAAGCCTTCCAATTTACGTGATATTAGACATAAGTTATCTGCGAAATCCAGACCTCCTAGAGTCTTCTTATCGGTTTAGTGTATTCCTGTCTTCTTGCCCGTCACACACGGTGTTCCATACATTCCAGTACACCACAATTAGAAATATAATAGGTGACAATACGTTGGCAGCCTTACCTCACTCATCTATTCCCTTTGAACGTCCCGTTGAGTACTTCGTTGTGAATCACCTGACACATACCATTTTCCTGTGGCCAGCTGTTAAATGAGGTTGATAAAGATTTAGAGCACACCAAGATGTTGAATTAATTTGAAAATTACTTTACGGTCGGCACTGTCCAAGGCCTTTCGAAAGTCTTCTAGTTTACTAGTTCGTTAGCTTTCTAAACGATCCCAAGCCCGGGAATAGAGGTAGAGCTGGGTGTAGGGATAGCGACCTTACCCCAGAAAATCAATCAAACTGATACTTCAAACTTCAATGCACAGTCCTGACGTAGGTTCCAAATAATGGGTGCTGGAGATTAAACACACTTCACTAAAGTTAGTGAAGTCAATCGGATGAGCAGCCAACCACGATATATCTTTTCCGGTTTGTAAGTAAACTCATGGAAATTTACGTGTTAACGAAAGAAAGCCCTTAACGGCTGTATTTATCACATAAAAAAGTTACAAATACAAAAATTTGGCCAACAAGACATAAATGAGTCCCTTTAACATACATAAATGTAGCAACATTGCCCTGGCAACGATCATCACTTTCCCGAAAGGAATGAATATCCACAGAACACTTGGGAAAGAGCTTTCCAATACAACGAGATGCTTCGGTTTTCATTTCGTGTGCAACCTAGCTGAATACAACACAAAAAGTAAGTCAATTTCTGTTACAATAGTGGGTGACTCTAAACAGTAGCAACCCATAACGAGACTACCTAATGAAGACCTTGTCAAATCTCCGTCAACCAATCAGATGCGTCCGAAGTTGAGGTGTGTAATTTAAGAAAAACGTTTATATAAAAGTAATGGCATGTTAAAAAGTAGTTATGTAGAATAACGTCCTTGAATACGTTCCAACAAAACCTTTAAATTTCCCATAGGAGTCTTCATAGTTAGGTTTAATCAATTCCGGTACAAAAATCCGTCGAGATAACTGCAAATCCTCGTGTTTCTTAGTTCATTTACCTATCTGATCCTCTTAATTGGGTGACTCTAGAAACTGTCGGTGAAATCTGTTTGAGTCACACCGAAAAGATTAATGAAATCGTCTGCATGATTGACCACGATGTGAATATAGTTCAGGGATGACAGTTGGCTACCTGTTTACCCTCTTCCAATGAGCCTGTTGTCTAAGCAGTAATTAAATTTTTTTATTTTTGATTATAGCTTGATTCCACACTATAGTTTTATTGATACAAATATGGAATTTTCAGCATGTGATATCGGTAGCCCAAATTTAGCAGGCCGACCATTGATATCGGGTGTGCGTCGGCAGGGGATCGAACCCCAGGCCATGTGCATGGTCGGCGAGAGTCCTAACCGCTGTGCCACCGACGCTATGCTATATTTGGATGAAATTCGCCGTGTGATCCGTGTACAGCATCCATAATTTTCTCTACCTAGTACGGACTCATCTCATTGGTTGCTCAAGGTCATTAATCCGTTCACTAGGTACTTTAGTTCTGGGCTGCTATAGTTTAGAGTCAGCCAACAGTGAAACAATATTAAAAGAATATTCAAGGAAGAAGCATAAAATCGTTTCATAACATGTACGATGTAATCTTTATTTAAATAATGTACAGCTTTCTCTAACGTTAGAAAGACACAAATTACACCTTTGACTATTATTGCGAAATAGGTGGATCATGCATTCTTTGCATGAGCAAGCAATATTCTGGTGGTTTCCAATTCACGATGACTATAAACCTAGATTCTGAGTCCAATAAACATGCGTAGATTAAGTGATACTGCTTGGGAGAAACAGATACGGCAAAGCCAAGCAGGCTTTAGACCAGGAAGAAGGTGTATCAATCAAATCTTCACCCTTCGACAGATTGTGGAACGGAACATGGGCATACTTATCGGCTTCCAACAATCGTTATATTTCTTGACCTGCAAGTGGCATTCGATTCCGTCAACCGAGAAGTACTATGGTGATGTTTGGCTGGCTGTGAAGGGAATGCCGAGAAAATACATCACACTGATCAAGGCACTCTACTCGAACTCAAGCAGCCAAGTGACAGCCTACGGAAAGTTGTTATCTGAAGTGGTGACAACCAATGGTGTATGTCAGGGATTAATATCAGTAAAACGTTTGAGCATTGTGGATTAGATCAAATAAAGTATAATTATATTTTAATAGTTTACACACAATGATAAGTTTTGTTATCTGATCAAAAATAAAATAAATCAACTGAAAGATCCCATAAAAATGATGGATAAAAACAACTTGATTTACAAAATATCTTGTGCTGACTGTCCGACTAAATATGTGGGGCAAACGTCCAGATCACTCAAAAAATAAGAGTGAATGAACATAAACGCCTAACCAAAGGTCAACCAACAGGAACACAAGCCTACAAAAATCTTGAAAAAAATTCATCGATAGCTGCACATGCATGGGACAAAAACCACAATATCGATTGGAATAATGTGTGTATTCTAAAAACTAACATGAACAAATGGAAAGAAAGACTTATAACAGAATCGATATTCATTAAAGTCACACCGGATACATGTAACAAGGGTGACTCAGTACAACTATCAACAACTTGGAATATAATTCTGGATACAAAAACATGAATGAACGTGGAATACAACTCAAATACAAAAGAGAAAAAATATGAATGAGCAAAAATAATGCAATATATATATGAGTACAAATCATAAATGTGTGAATCAAACAATTCCAACAGTGGTGTGAACACGGGCAGTAATTTTGCTCGAAATATTACCAATAACAAAACTTATCATTGTGTGTAAACTATTAAAATATAATTATACTTTATATGTCAGGGATGCCCACTACCCCCATTTCTGTTTAATTTCATCGTATAAGTACTAATGCAATTAACCCTAACTGACTTCAATGACTCAGGGATTGACTTGTTACCAGGGGATAATCTCGTTAACTTACAACATGCGGATGATATATCCCTCTGAGGTGAAGATGCCGACGAAACGTACAGTCTGCTGAGCACCTTGAACAGTAATCTTCGAATGTTTGGCATACAATTCGCTCCTGATTTCAAATATAAGATGATGCTACAGGACTAGGCTACGTCAAATTACTTCCAGCTTAAAGATATGGAGTGAGCGAAGTAGCAGAGCGTGTTGACCCCTTCACTTATTTGGGAAATTGCATCAGCCAGCCCCAGTCGGCTGACCACTGACAAAATTCTATCAAGAATACAAAATGCTCGTTTAGCATTTGCAAACAACTCACCCCATCTCTGGCTAAGTAAACGTGGTATATGGCTATCGATCAAGGGATGTGTGTACTGCTCAGCAACAGTCTGCTCCATCATCCTTTATGGCTGGCTGTGAGTGAGACATGGTCATTGAAAGCGGAAGAAACGAAAAGACCACATGGCCGGCTATCTTTGATCATAGGTGTCTGCATTCTATCTGCCGTATTAGATTAGGTAGCATAATAGGGTGGTGAGTAACATTGAGATAAGGCGTCAGTCGAGTGCTAGACAATGAGAAGGAGGGAAAACCAATCAACGAGGTTGTGAATCCATATTCATTGACTGACATGGTTAGCATATGTGTTACTCATGCATCCCCACTTGCCGATCGCCTTCCTCGGGTGACTGCCAATCTTAGCTCAGTTGACATAGGGTGGATCAGGTTGGAAAAGAGCTAGCACGCGGTGGTTGTCAAACCAGACAATGGCTTCATCAATCGATCGAATCAACAACAGTTATTTTAAACCAGACAGCCAGCGACGTGGAGAGGTATAGGCTGGCTTTCTGACTGGCTGGTTGGGATTCCCGAGATGGTATGAACCAATGAGGGCTGGAGGTAATTGGTAGTGATATGGTTGACTCAAAGGCGCTCACAGTGGCATTGTTTATTGGCTCTCTTCTTTTGCCATGTGTGCTACAGAGACATGGGGGGTGGCAACTGGAACATCTATACATCTGGACAAAGTTCTACATTGAAACCAGTCAGTCAGGGATATTTTGCACTTTTGTTAGATTTCTGCCCCACAATAATCAAGTAATTTCGTCAATGAATCATTTCTTCTTATCATACGCTACAGGATTAACTCTCCCGCGGGGAAACGACTCAAGATGTCACAAACTATGAATGACTAACCGTAGTGGTTATTGTGTGTTAACCGATATTTTTATACCCATTTATTTGGTTAAGTTCGCCATTCACGCAAACGCCAAAACACAGTTATTAGACTTGAAACTCGGACTTATTTCGACACACAGAAGCTGGTTTTGAGGAAACAATGGTTTTCCATAAATTCTTCATCAGACTTTAGTTATTAATCCATAAATATTAAACAGAGATTGAACGCAGACACCTATGACCAAAGACTACCGACTAACCGGTCTTTTCATATCTTCCACTCTCAATGGCTATGTCTGACAGCCATAAAGTGGAGAAACATCCCACAGAAGAGATGGAAGGAGGCTTTTTTTCTAATTATACTTGACAAAACTTGTATGAAGTAAAACAGACTTAGACTGACAGTATTAAGATACAACGGGAAGGTTCAACTAAGGTAGGGTGGCGAGAGGGTTGAAGTATGTGGAAGCATTTTCGACCAACACCAAAGGTTGGACTTATAAATTTTTCTACAATTACCCAAGTTGAGCGTTTTTATATCTGATTTATAATACTGTACTCTTACCATGATTACTGGCAATCGTAACTTTAGAGTTATAGAATCAATATGAGAACAGTGGTCAAATAAAATTGCATAGGAAATACACTGCCCTATGGCGACGAAGTGAGAAATTACTCATGAGATCTTGCTGAACTCATACAGAGAATGTAAGAAATATGAACAAATAAGGAGTGTCGATATGAAGTCTGCGAAATCACTTACCCTCTCAGGAACTTTTCCTGCTACAAACGAATATCCAGATATTGACTGTACACTTCCCATTTCCAGAAGTGATATGGCAGTAAGTGATCCCTGTACAGGTGAAATCAAAACCTTCACAATACCACCACCTTGTGGATAAAATCCTCTTTCTTAATAGTCTGATTTTAATGAGCACTTACCGTCTAATGACTTGCAGCTCATAATTCAATCCCATTCGCTTGAAGTAATTCGACGTCACCTGATGAAAGAACTATATGATTTTGTTGTTTCAGTAAAGTACCTTTTTCATAAAGTCTATCGGAGGTGCGAAGGAAGCATCAGTACCCCCACGTAATATAACTTCGCTCGGGCTAGAAGCGAAAGCCAAGATAGGTCCAACAGCCTGGAGCATCAGCGACACTGATCTGGGGATCGAAATACAGAGTAATCTCCCTTACAACATACCCTGCTGTCTTTGCATCAGCTTCATAACTGCCTGGAGTAATCTGACCAGGAGTTAAGGCTATTTTCGTTGATCCAAGTTCACAAGACGTCAGGCTACCTGAACAAACCTTCGCTGAAATCTCCAAAGCAGCCAAATGTTGGTTGCTTAAGTTTGAAAACTAGTTTATCAGCTACATACGAGGATACCTTAAGCCCGGATTACTCCGACCAGCTCGTATGTTACATACTTCCACGGGTCTTCCTGTTATCGCTGATATTGCTACAGCACTACGCAGAATCTGACCACCCTGAAAGACAAATGGAAATTCGATCGATATTTACATACTCCTTCCAACTTGCTACCGTCAACAGATATAATTTGGATATCTGCCCTATTGTTCATCTTCTGCATTTTCCAAATTTAACACAATTACTCCCTCACTAACAGAACTAACCGAGGCCAAACGGGAAATACCGACGTACACCTCGATGACCTTGGCAAGTTAAAATCCCACTAACTCTTCAACATCCAATTTACAGTTTGCGAGTTTGTGGGGCAAGTGGATTTCTTCCCACCCCCTAGAACCTCTGGATTTAGTCGGGTAGTGCCAGATTTTGATGGCTGACAGTAAATTATATCGTCTTAAAGGAATGACCTCGTGAAGTTAATCATTCTAGCCGCAATCTAAGATATTATTGTTTAAGTGGAAAGTTTTACTGGACCGAAGTTAAGCAATAAAAAATTTACCCGAATTTACAATTTTTATGTCTTAGAAATATGCCCCCAATTCATTACTAGAGTCGCTAACGTTGGTTTAAGCCAATTTATGTGCATGCACTCATTTAAATGACTACATACTATATAACTGCGTAATTCAACTGATTACCCCCATCTGGTTTCTCAGATGTCCTTGGAGTCCTACAATGGAGTTAGTGTGAGTCTTATCCAAAGATACAGTGAAGTCAGAAGAATGATTTGCAGTGCGATGATTAAGGCCAGATAACAATAACTTTCTGACAGCACTAAGTTAATCCGTGCGGATGGTTGTTCCAGGTATCATTAGATATGGTATTATTGGTGTTAATATACTCCCGTTTTGAATTTTTTTAGACTATTTCAATCGTTCTCTTACTAAATGTCCGACCTTGCTGATTGTCCAAGGTCATTTAATTGGTCGTTTGTCTGCAGTGGTTTATTTCGCCGAAGCTTCAATTTGGATTTCAGCGAGACAACGCACCTCACTTTCCAGTCGCATCGCTAGTTGTTCACCAGGCCACTGAACTTTATGAATCCCCTTACACAAAGGTGAGCATTTTACTTGTGACGAACACTTACTTCCACTGATCACAGCCTTAATAAACCTGTTATGCACTTGAGTGATTACGTAACAATTCCCAAGTCTTCAGCTCGAGGTCGGCTTCAGTGTGGAGACCAAATTTATTCGGTTGAGGTGTGAACGAAAGAAGGTGATGCCTGCGTTCTACTGTATGGCTGACAAAACTTCGTTGAGACACGCACCATCATAAAACGTTCCAAACGAAGTTAAAAGGTGATTATTATCCATTATTCTAGCGGTTCTATTATTCAATAAGAACATCAAACTCAAATTTACCTCAGCGATGCCATGAGGCAGCTTTGAAAAAAAATGTAGGTTTCTAGATACGAAAACAAATGTTGTAAGACAGGATTAGTCGACTACAGTCTAACTGTAGTTCAACTGTGCATTAGAATCGAGGGGAATATTACCAGCCAGGCTATATGAAAAGCTCTGTCCACAAGAATCACACACGAAGGCTTCAGCAAACAGTCCCGAGTCAGGATGACCTTCATGCAATCAAATAAACTTATATCGCTAATTAACACATTCTTAGTCAACATAACCACAAAGAAGTATTACAATGAAATACTAAACAAGGACGAAGGTAAATAGTAGGAGTCGAAATTCAACATATGATATGCACATGTTAAATTAATGATACAGTCTAGGGAAAATACGTACAATCAACACAAAGTTAGTTGAAATGCCTTAATATGTGTAGATATTGCAAATTGGGCGTCCACATAGGATTTTCCAAACAATTAGCCCATTATACCGCCAGCCAAAATCCCCCCATACACTTGAAGACAACTTTTAATGCTTTCTGTCATGAATGTGTTCCTTACACCTGAGGTTCAGGACCTATAACATTACACCTGCATAACCTCACCCTAGTCTATAGTTCGTCCGCTCCTTCAAGAAGACAGAGTACCCTGTTGAACTTTTCTCATTCCATTCGTCGAGTAGCATCTAAAATGAACTTGAATTTAGCATTGCAAGTGTATACTACCATTCCAAGGAGTCTCCAGTTCCCTCTTGTATATATCTTGTAAATGTACGTCCACTGATGTATTATCCGTAATTGTATTTAATACTATTTTTCAGTTTTTCAGGACGTTCTTCTATTCCTCAAAATAGCTTCTAACCACGAGGCGGCATAGCACTTATCCAAATATGCGCTGTCCACTGGTTGACCCTAACTATCGGCAGGAAACGGAACGAAGTTTAAGTTGTCGCTCAGCATCGATGGTGACCTTAGTGAAGGGGTTACAATTTCGCATTTATAAGAACCTGTTCTGATTTCTTGTACAATAATTAAACAATCTGAACCTTTGAAAAAGTATTAAATTATGATACTTCAGGACTGTAATTTATAACACAACTGATCGTGTCTGTAAAAATGACATGCATTCCTTGTAAACTTACCCGTTTATACGAAAAATTATTATTATCCTCAACGCACCGCTTGCACTGATCTTAACATATATTTTGAGCGTAAAGCTCAGATATTGGTCCGTGTTTCTCTTTCGGGTGATTTGCCAGCCAATTAATTACCTGAAACGCATTAACCCTGGCAAATGACCAGTTTATTCACTCTCTACCCACTCTAACACAGCGCTTCAAGCTGAAGAGAGGCGGTTCATAACTCCTCGAACAACTAGAGCCTGCCGTGAAGCGTTCATAGGACCCTATTCTACGGCGTTTTTATTCAGCAGCTGCGGATTTTTATGGCGAACGACTGGCTCAAATTTTTTTAATGATAATGATTTACTTTATTCCAAAAACAGTACTTGTGATACAGAATGGAATTTTCAGCATTAATCATATTATTGCATCTAATTTCCTCAAATTATAAATAAAATTAATCACACAGAAAATTTTCCTACATTTACAATAGGGTTAATATAAAAAAAATAAAAAATAAAAAACATGCAGCATATAAAATGGAAATAATAATAATGATAGCGGCTAAGGTAATGATAATAATAATACATGTGGAAATTGCCGTCGGCTTGTTTCACACAGTATTCATGACACCAGTCATACATGAACGGTCAGTGCCACAATCTCTGCAGAACCAGAAGCAGCCTCCGCGCTCGTCATACGTTACAATTTTATTTCGCACGAACGATACAATATCAGGAATCAAAGTTTGGGTAACGGGACACCCGACCCTCCACGCTGACGAACACCACCTCTGCCAGACCTCACAGCAGCGCCCTCAGCAGGACCGCTTTCGCCATAGGATCCTTAACGCACACCGACACAGTGACGGTTTCAAATTCCTGCGATAAGTTCTTACTCTCCCCTTCCTCAAAAGAAACCTGTCATAGTATCTTCATTGTCTGGAAGCAGTGACACCAATTAAAACGGCAGAAGGCGAAGACTTGGTAAAGGAATGTTTATTTGGAGATTGGTATCTCTATATAGACAAATTATGCATACCTTATCTTCAACGCACCGTTTACACAGATCTTCTTGTTGTGGTATTTTCGGAATTCACGTCGTGTTCCTTTGAGCTCTCACATGTATTTCTACAACGCTGTATCATTCGCCTCCTTTGAAATCAAATATTTTACAGCTTAAAATTAATTTAGGATAGTGGGCTATATGCCTGTGTTAATCCTTTCGATTTGTTGCACACAGGAGGTCCAATCTCGCCTTGAATGAATCAACGGATGGCGCTGATACGACGTGTTCCGGTAGGGAGTTCCAATGGTTCACAATTTGATGCGAAAAACGGATCTCCAGACGCAGACGATTCGACCGTGGTTTTTGAACCTTGAGGTGATGTCCTCGCAATTGGTTGGTGCTAGAAGGAAGAAATAATTTAGATAAATTAGCTCCAAAATCATTTCTTAGGATGCGGTATGCTAGTATTAGGTCACCCCTAAGTCGTCTGTATGACAGTGGAAATGAACCCAGTCGACTTAACCTCACCTCATATGAGAGGGTTGAGAAACCCCTTATTAGCTTAGTTCCTACTCTTTGCACCCTTTCTAATAAGTCTATTTCGTATTTGAAACAGGGGCTCGCTGCCTGGATCCCATATTCCAAATGAGGTCTGACACAAGTCGGATATAATATACGAAATATATCAGCGTCAAAGTTCACAAAAGCCTTGCGTACGGCTGCAGCTCTACAGTTTGTTGCTGTTTTCAAGTCATGCTGCACAACCACTCCCAAGTCCTTGTACCCAGTGACCACTGGGAGAGTAATACCATTCATTGAGTAATTGTGCACGTGACTATGAGATACATGCATAACTACACTCTTGCTTAAGTTAATCTCCAAGGCCCAGTGCTTACACCAATTACTTAACAAGTTTAAATCTTCCTGCAAAGCAAGTTAATCACTGTCATCTTGTAAAGCCCTCCATATCTTGATGTCATCAGCAAACAGTAAGCAGGATGACTTAACTACCGACGGAATCTCATTAACATAAATCAGGAAAAGAAGTGGGCCTGAGGAACGCCACTCTTAACCGATTCCCATGTTGATAAAACCCCGTTAACTCGTACTCTTTGTCCTCTGTCCTTCAGAAAGTCTTGAATCCAGTCGGCAACCACTTTATTGATTCCCAGACTACCTAACTTTACTAGAAGACCTGAATGAGAAACCTTGTCAAACGCCTTGCTAAGGTCGATGCATATGGTATCCACCGGTATATTAGCATCAACTGAGCTTGCCCAACTTTCTCTGGCCAAAAGAAGGTTGGTCAAGCAAGAATGACCTGCTCTAAAACCATGCTGTTCCACAGCGAAAAGTTTGTTCCCTTCGATGAACTGAATGATAGCATCACGAATTATTCTTTCTAGTAGTTTAACAACAATACTGGTCAAACTAACAGGACGATAGTTCTGAACTAAGTTTCTAGATCCGGTTTTGAAGACCAGACCAATGATGGCATCTTTCCAGCCTCTTGGACATTTAGACTGGTCCACAGACATTGAAGATTACCGACAATGGCTGTTAATATACGTGGGGGTGGAGTTCATCAGGGCCACTGGACTTACCAGGATTGAGCCTTGGAAGCCACTTTAGGACAGTATCCTTTCCAATGTATAAGGGTGCCATTTTCAAGTTACCTTCTGGAAAAGTCACAAAGCTGGTATCAGTATTACCAGAGAATACTTGACTAAAGTGCTTGAACAAAGCCTCAGCCTTAGTCAAGTTATCCTCAGCCATGTTTGTCTGGTCATCTT